GCAGACGCTGCATTGTCAAGACGTCTGTCTTGTCACATGAGTTGTCCTGTTTCTGTCATCAGTCGCTAATGAGCCTGAGTGTGAGAAAGTCTGACCGTAGAAATTCTCACTGCAGCTCACGGATGACTGGGTCGCTGTGGGAGAGACACCACGGCTGCATGGTGAGTTCAAGGGGACAGACAGAAGACGTCTAAATTTGTGTCTGAGGGCTGTGAGAAAGAGAGAAGGGACAAGAGGGACTTGTTGATAAAATGCTAAAACTTAGCCCAAATAATCTCCTGTTACTTAAGAAATTTGTTTAATTCTAGTTTTTGTTATAATGATGTTTGATATTTCTAGAAAAATCAGGGATAAGTTACTATTACATACACAGAAGAAGGAGGAAGTATATAGAAAATGTGTCTTTCTTTTGATGGTATTTATATGAAAAAGATTTTAATGAAAAACATTTATATCTTTCTCAAAACCAGAAAAATGTGTTTTTATTTTCCAAGACAGCATTGCTTAGTTGCAGTTGATAAAATGTGTTTCTTACATATTTCAGTAAAGACTCATTGACAATAGACAATTAAAATGTTTGTGGCCTGAAATCGCCTGTATGAACCATAAAAAAATGGAGGTTTGTGGACTTTTAATGTTTGTTAAGATTTTGATATTTGGGGTTTGGAGTGAAAATGAGGAATACAAATAATAAAATAATAAAATAGAAAGTGAACAGTTACATATAGACAGTATATAGACAGTAGTATAGGCTAAATATCAGCATTTCAGAAAGCATCTTATAGTACTGGTTCCCCAAGACTGAATTAGGAAGGATACTCTCAGTGTCTTTAGTAAAACACATCATATAAAGAGTTTAACTGAAAATGTTTAAATGTCATCACTTCTCAAATGTAAAATAAAAAGGATCACATTTATTACAAACTTAAATATTAATGTATTACATTCATAATTAGAGTTACATGTTTAGGTTGATTATACATTAATTTCAGTTCCAGTTAGAGAAAGCTATATGCCAATCCAAACAGGCGATGCCAAGATAAAAGAAAGAAAGAAAGAAAGAACGAGAAATGCAACCTACACTTTGGGATGGGAGGATGAAGATAAATAAAGTAATTCCCTCTCTTTGTGTGTGTTGGTCTTCTTTCAGCTGCTTAATAAAGTTTGTTTTGTCTGGTCTCTTTTTATAAACAGTGTGTATGTTTCTTATGATCGATCACAGTGAACAACAGTTGTGTGAATTTAGTTCTTTATGGTCTTTTATGTAAGTATGTCGCTAATTCATCTGGTTACTATTATTACTGCTATTAGTAGAAGTATGTCAGCCGCTATATGAGGGTAAAGACACGGTCCTCTCTGTGGTTCAACACCGACTGAAGGCATCCTCCCTGCACGCGCCCTGGTTCACTCAAGCGAGAGCAATTACTGCGTGGCACGCGCCAACCAGCTGGGCCGCTGCAGACTGCGCGAGGAGCTTCTCAGGTCTATATAACAGGCTCGTGCTGGGGGGGTTAAAACGGTGACGCCTGATAAATTGATATTTATTATTATTATTAGATATTTATTATTATTATTCATATTTTTTTTATATATAAATATTTTATTTTATTTATTTTTTAAATTGTCAAATCAGAAAAAAACTCGAACTCTAAGTTTCTAGTGGTCATTATCGAGACTTCCCTTCCCATAAAGATGGTTATGGGTCAGCCATGAAAGTGTTAAATTATTATCTGTGGCAGAAAGGGTGGGCTGCAGTTTTAAACCTCAAATTTAAGAGAAAACTAATACATTGTTCACTTTTATCAGCGAATTCAGCGCCTTTCTCCTGGTTGAACTGTTGTGGTGTTATTGGGGGTTTTCACTGCTGCAAAACGGACGGACAGACAAACAGCAGCTAGGTTATAAACAACATGAACTTGAGCAGAACAGCCATCATTTGAATGTTCCCGCGCAGCAGCAGATGTGGCCACACAATAGACGGACCCACGCCTGAATAATCGAGTCCAATTTGAATAACTGTCGCATGTCTGACGCGTGCTAGAAATATCCCAGCTTTCCCAGGCTTTGTGGGAAAACCGTTGGCAGCCCCTTTTCCAGTTCAATAGGGATTTAGCCTCTCATTGAAGTGGCCTAGTGGGAGCGTCTTTAACAACCCTGGGAAACCCTGAGTCCGGATCACCTCCACATAATGAGATCCTGTGCTCGACCCTTCATTATAGAGCTGTGAGGCTGCAGCTGCACCAGAGAGGGGCTCTCTGCGTTTTATTCCTGGACCTTATTTACTAAACTGTAAATACATAATAAAAAATAAATAAACATGATTTCAAAAAGGACAGTCTATCTGTTAAGCAATCAATACCCAATTTCATATAAAAACAGGCTATCCAAATATAAAATTGAGCGTATAGTCCATCTTTAAACTGGGTCGATATTTTTCAAACAACAACAACAACAAACTGTGGGTCTATTTTTTCCTAAATGCAAAATACGATTATTCAATTCAGTTTACTATATTGATTATAAACAGTTGTTTCATTGTTTTCCAGTGAATCCAGTTTGGCTACATATAATAAATAATATATTATATATATATATATATAATAAATGTAATATTAAAACTATTTCTATATAAGCCAGTAAAAGATTATATTGTTAAAATAGGCCTTATTATAAAAGGCTTTTTTTTATTTGCAGGCGGGCCTATCATTCCTATAATATAATATATACCCATAATATAATACACCTATACATAACATACATAATGTATACACCATATTGTAGGCTATAATAGAATTGATGTAGACCCCCCTGAATCGTGTTAGGGAGTTATTATTGTCCACTTCCTTCAGGGAATTGTAACATTAGTCAGACCGCTCGTGGGAATTCCCCCCGTGGGAATCCCCCCCCCCCCCCCCTCTCCCTCCACTAAAATCGCGCGCGGTGTCCCTATGACAGTTGGACCGGTGGCAACAGAATGGCCCGAAGAGGCAGCGGCGTCGAGCCACGAAGACTCACCGCATACCCCCCCAACCGCCCCCCGCATCCAGGGCAGGAGCCGCTCGAGCTGAAAACTCAATCAGGCTAATCTGACAGTGAGGAGGCAGAAAGCTGGTGGGAGGCTGCAGGTTTGCCTCTAATGATTGCTCCCAAATCATCACGTGAAAACATGACTAAATATGAAACAGATATTAAACTATAAACAAGACTGGACACGAGTAAACTGTACAGGTCTGGATTTAAATAGCCCTCCTATTTTAAGTGCGTTTAAAATAACAATAAAAACAACAATAAAAGCAATTAAAGCGGTGGAACCGGTCCACTGTTTTCATAAAAGGGTTTTGTCACTGCGCTTCTTTTTATTATTGGTCGTTATTGGGATCTGTTTAATGTCCTAACGTGTGTGGGACAGATACAGTGATTTACAGAAGCCGGTGCTGAATAAAGTATGACCTGACACCTGAACGATCCCGCAGGTGGAGCTACACCTTAATGAATATGAAGCTTTCCTGCCACCGTTTGGTGATTCAACGTATTACAGTTCACAAGGTCAGGTTGATGGAAATATGGGCATCTGTTACAAGCCTATACTGTCTTATACAGCTTGAAGACTAGGGCCAAACAAACTAAGATCATAACAGTTATTTCGGAAGAAGTCATGTATTCAAAATTATGCTCACAAGAGAGCAAAATTTTAAGCATCAATTGTAAAAAGTAATCATTATAAAAACTCATTCAGTGTTATTAAAATATTGGATTATTGTTAGAAACACATAAGCATCATTTTCCTGTTGTAGCTGGTCAAGGTGGAGCAAAAAAATACTTTATTTACTTTTGTCTAGGCCTATAACAAATCATTATATTTTAGAGACTGATAATATGTTTTATATATAAAATGTGCACCACTTTACCTTAAAGCCACAAAATACTAAGTAATCATAAGGTAATGATGAAGTAATGAGGGACGACTACTGTGTATAATTAAATAATATAATAATAATGAGGGTCTTCTGAGGATGTATCACTACTTGGGGTGCACATTAACAGTAATAATGTTTAGGTAATTAGTAATGAATGAGTCATTTTGTGTTGTTCGCCGGCTGCTTTAGAGTTAATGTGGAATGACTCCTAAAGAAAGTGGTCAGTATGATAGATTCATATATTCATGAACTCATCATTACCTAATAATTAATTAATATAGGCTCTCCCAGTCTGTTCTCTATTAACTGATCAATAGCTACTATAGAGTCCTTCATTAGGAATTATTAGGGAAGTTCTTATTAAAGATTGATCAATTATCAAGTCGCTCCTGATTTGTTCCTCACTACTTTATTTATCTAATCATTAGCTACTCTATAAAGTCTGAATATGAGTTACTCATGAATTAATGGTTCCCAGATTGCTCCTCATTTGTTCCTCAGTAACTACTGATAGTTTTGTGGCCCTTATTTAAAGTGTTACCGAATAAACCTGATTCATTGTGACATACTGGCTCAATATATCGGGTTTATATGTACTGTAGCTACAGAAGCAGGAAATGCTGCATTTGTAATGAACTACTGACAGTAAAACAAGAGGCCATGGCTGCCTGCTGATCTTCTACAATCCGCCACTAAACAGACAAATGCCTCAACCCAAGCGTAAAAACCTTTCCAGTCTCCAGTTTTACATCAGGCCACCAGATGGACCTCTCCAGTGTGCAGACTGTGGGTGTCCAGTGATGCTGATTTCACTGCCGTATGTAAAATTAATGCCAGACAGGCTCAGTGCAAACAAGACTGGGCGTGTGTTCAAAAAGCCCATTGCTGAATTAGTATTCGGCCGTGGGTCTATACTTGACTGACGCCCATCACCACAGTTGTATAACTTTCTCCGTCGGGCTATACTCAGAGTTTTAAGCAGCCTGTCGAATACTGCCCCTTTAACTTCTGAGCCGATTTCCAGAAAGCAACAACCTGTAACAGGCTCAGCGATCCTCCCCCTGATGGATTATTTAGCAGGCGCTCAGTCCCATGTCGCCATCTGCTATAGGAAGAAAAACACTGCGGGATATTCTCTCAGGCACATGATACACGTTAGTAAACGGGGTAAACAAACAAATTAAAACAAAAAGTAATTTACTGGGACAAAAAACGCGTGCAACAGGTGTTCAGCATCCTGCGGGCGTCCCAGAGAAAAGAAGCGGATAACTGAGCCACACCGTCGGGCAGAAATATAGAAAGCAGGTTGGTTTACAGCTCATTTAAACAATAATGGACTGAAGTACTTTCTCCCCCAACATGTAAAAATCGCATATTAAAATGTGTATGAAGGGAAAGGGATCTTGCTTTTGAACCGTTCGGCTGTGGGAAGATGTGGAGCGATCACTGAGCTGTCCCACAAACACTAACTGAGATGATCTGAAGCTTTTGCAAACACAATGTCGACCTCATCCGCACGGTGAACCGATCGGACTCAACCCAGACAACCAGAGGAAGGAGTCGTCCAGTCTGCGGCGGCCATGGTGGTGGAGGGGGACAGGGCGCTGCTCGCCGCCAGGCAGGGGGACGTGCAGACTCTGAAAGCGCAGTTAGCGGCAAAGGCGCTCACCAGCGACGTCAAGGATGTCCTGGGGGCTTCACCGGTCCACCACGCAGCCCGGGCCGGGAAACTAACCTGCCTGCGGTTCCTGGTGGAGGAGGCAGGACTGCCGGGCAACTGCGTGGCGAACAACGGGGCAAGCCCGGCGCATGACGCGGCAGCCACGGGCAACCTGGCCTGCCTACAGTGGCTGCTGACCCAGGGAGGATGTCGGCCAGAGGTGAGTGATAGATGAGCTATAGTTGGACACCTTTAAGTGAGCAGACAGTAGCCTAATTCTCAGTTTCCTCTGACCTGTCTGCTTCTCAGCAACGCACACACCTGCCAAACCCCTTGCACCCAATCTCCCTTTCTCCTCACCAACTGGGCAGTTGATCGGGGTATATCTGAACTAACCTCAAAGGATAGCCTACACATATTCAGTGTTTTCCTACAGACTTTGCAGTTGGAAGTGAAAAAGCGTTTGAAACAACATTCAACAGGTACAGCAGATCCTGGAGGCAGGGTGACCCATCTGCTGTTATTCATTGAGGAGATACATTACAGTGTATTTAAATTAGGATTAAATTAAGTAAAACTTCACCCCAAATAGCTGTTTCAAATACATTGTACAGGTTTTTACCAGTTTCTGTTCAGAGAGACACTTCCAAAAGTTGTCAGTTAAGCAAAAGGCCAATAAATGTGGTTTAAACCTAATTATAACACCATTACTTCACTTCTAGTCCTAAATGTTCTGAAACTAGAATCCTTTTATCTTGAGCAGTGAGCAGTTATTGGTTTGGTGATGATAAAAGTAAACTTCCTCCAAGAGGTCAACTGTGTGTAAAACATCCCCAATAACAGATTAAGCATCAATACCTTTAGGAGACATCAGCACATGGAGACCTTACAGCCATCTGACTGAAAAACAGAAACTAAACATCAGATATTTACAACAGCCTGAGAGCTTTTTTGTTGCTGTTTTGTTGACATCTTAAAAATGCATCCTGTGCTAACTCTGAACAAATAGGAATACATTTTAATTCACATGCAATGTGGTAGGCATTAGGCAATGTGGGAGTACCCCCTCAGACTTTTATTTGAGTTTCAGTTTAAACCCAGCTATGCTACACTGCCTCATGTTGCCATGGCAATCAAGTATGCAAAACTGGATTTGCAAATGTAATATACTTTATACAGCCGGACAGTAACTGGTGAAGGGCACAAGCAGAGAAATACATAGTGACAGTGTAGTTTGGTATGACAGTAGAGAAGATGTTTAATAAGGACGGTGGTTATAACCTTCACATGATGGATTAAACCTTATGAGCCCTTATGACACGTTACATCACTCCCATGTCACACCAGTGAAGGAATGCAGCGAGCAAGTCTTAGTGAAAGCTGTAAGACAGTTGAGGTATATAATGTACCACTATGATTATACATACTCACCAGCACTTTTAGCCTTTAAATTCTGCTGTGCCGCTAATTCCAGTATTTTTCCATAATATGTTGTTTTCGCTTTAGTAACCTGCTGACACTATGCAGGGTATGCTGCAGGGTATCCCAGCATGCTTTGGGTCAGGCATATTATGTCTTCTCTTACTAAAAAATGAATTAGACTAACATAACGCAAACAAAAGTACCAAACTTGAGTCAATCAGGCAATCCATCTAACTTCTAGTAATCTGTGATTCTAAATTTGAAACGCAGTAATAAGAGCTCTATCTTCTATTTACTGTCTCCATTACTTCAGAAGGCTGCCTGACAGAGCGCAGAAGAGTGACAAAGAACGGCCCACGCTACAAACTAACTAATAAGCTACCTGGCTGACATTTAGTAAAACCTATCAATTACCACTTGCAGTGCAATCTACTTGATGGATGGTCAGTGCTAGCTTCCACTTTTCACCATTGTGTCTTTTACTTTGTGTTACTGCACTCTGATCCAGGTTTATCTGATGCTAATGATGTTCATTTGTGGCACTCCGCTGCCTCAGCCTACAGCTTTGGCTGCTTTGTTGATAAGACTCGAGTATTAGTATGCATCTATCCAAAGAGCATGCAAATACATTTTTTTCCTATTATCTGTAATATATATTGGTCCATCTCTTGACACAAAGAATGAAAATACGTTACAAATAAACACATTAAGGAACATGGAGGCTGTAACCCATGTCTTTTTCGAGTCAGGGTTGGATGAGAGAGTTGCAAAAGCTGAGATCTGTGTGTCTTTTACACAATTTAAACATTTTCTTAATCAATAACAACTTTATGAAAGGTATTTGTGGCTTCAATATTTGGCATCTTTCTGGTGGTTCAGCTTATTATACTGTAGATTTGAGTGCAATCATCAGTCTATGCTGCTTAGAAATCATATACAAAGACAGAATAACTTGTTTGTTTTCACAAATAAGTTATGAAAGTATGCATGACTTAAACAATAACTTATTTCCTTTCTCAAATACGCCTGCTCCTGTTGAGCAGAATCATTCAAACCTACTGTATACACACTAAACATAAACCTTCATGAAAACATTATATGACACATCCATCTCACATTGCACAGAAAGTTCGATTCAATTCCTTTTCCCTTCATTTCAGCTGTGAACGCATACAGTTTTACAGTTGATTCAAAATCTCAGTTTACCTCTTTTTATTACTATTTTGTACCATGAAATTACCCTTTTAATTTATAAAATGAATGAGGATTATAATTTCAGAACTCCATATTTGAGCTCTATTGCTCTTTTGTTTGATCAACAGCAAAGGGACAGTTCTGGTGCCACCGTTCTTCACCTTGCATCCCGCTTCAGTCACCATGAGGTCACTGACTGGCTGTTGAAGAGTGGTGAGGTGGACCCCGGGGCCTCCACAGAAACAGGTGCCCTACCTGTTCACTACGCTGCTGCCAAGGGAGACCTGCCCTCACTCCGACTGTTGCTGGGGCACAGCCCAAAGTAAGAGCATTATGGTTCGGTCTTTGCAGCAGCCTGTAAGCTTCCTTTCACTGTGTTCAAAATCGGAGCCAACTGTCTGTGTGATTCAGAAGTTGTTGATTTCATCTTGTTGTTGTCCGGTAGTGATTTAATTTGGTAACTTGTATATTAATATTTACCGGCTGTCCTTCATCTGCAAAGACTGCAGATTCTAAAAGAGCATTTAGACTATGACAACTTGTATTTTTGAAGGCCCTCGTCAGTTTTCTTCTACTGCAACTGAGACAGGATGCAGTAGATCCCTGTTCAGATTCAGATTTCAGACTGATGGCACTTTCACCGATTTCAGAGGTCAACAATCAACTCTTATTTCTCCTCAGATACTAATCAAACAAATGAGGAGTGACTGGCAGGAGTTCTGGTCAGTAGATCAGTTTTGGGATAGTACTGTAGGTACTGTTGGTAGTATTTGCAGCACCATCTGGCACTGGTGGGAAAACAACTTGAACTTTGCTTTTTTTGATACCAGTGGAGCAGTCTAAATACTTTGTGTTCAAATCCCATTTAGAAAAAAAAACTCTAAGTGGTTTAACTTTCCCAAAATACTGCACACTACCATAACCCCCCCGTGCTGCTTATGTAATACATCTTGACACAAGTTTCTAAAGCTGCATGAGAGCCATTTCAACAACTGTCAGTAGCAGAATTAGGTATGTTGTAAAGCAGCAACTAACAATTAGGTTCATTCTCGATTAATCAATTAATTGTTTGGTTTATAAAACATCAGAAATGATGACAAAAACCCCTTCACAACATCCCAAAAGCAGAAGATGACATCATTAAATATCTTATTATGTGTGACAAACGGTGCAAAACCCCGAAATATCCAATTTACTATGTTGCAAGACCAGGAAAATCAGCAAACTGTCACATGTGGCAACGTGATTACATAAAAAAATACATAAACGAACAATTATTTATTATAGTTGCAGATTCATTGTCAATTAACTAATTGTTGCTGCTATAGTAAGAAGTGTGTTTGTGTAGTTTTGTGTGTGTGTGTGTGTGTGTGTGTGTGTGTGTGATTACACTTTGATTAAAATCATCCCTAATCAGTACCCTGTAGAGATAACACCCTCATGGACCATTACATTGCAATGGACACGGATGAGGTGTTAGAACAACTGAGTTGTCCCTTTTGGGAAGCAGCACTGAGCACACAGAGCTGTAATTACAGGATACAACACCACAGACTCTGTATAGGCAGCAACCAGGTTGATTGCAGGTAATATCTGCAAAAAAAGGAGGCTCGATTAGATCCAGCTCAGTAGGTCTGCCTACAGCAAACACCATAAAATTTGGGTTTGACTGCGATAAGATGTGTGATCATAATGCAGCAATTGTAAGTGCAGATTTGGCAGCATCAGTATCAACAGTTGTTAACCAGCTTGTGTATGATTCAGAGAGAGGAGGTACACTGAGTGTAGTGTTTTAACATCAGATCACTGTGAATGCCACATATAGCATGGCTGTAGACTCCCTACAAAGAGTGGTAAACCATATTGCCCTTTTCAATTTAAATTAGTTGTTTCTATTTCCATGATATTAAAGTGAATTTAGTATACAAACAGATCCCTCTGGGTAACTTTAAGTAGCCCAGACTATTGGCCTTATTTGTTTAGTATCATTTATAGCAACACCTGCCCGGTTATAAAAGAATACAAAAGGAAAATATGGAGATAACCTATGAGTTGATTGATGTTCTTCGGCTGGTGTCAGCTATTGAAGTGCTCACTAACTGCTGTCATAAAGAAATAGAAATGTAATAAACTTAGTCTTTAAGTTAAACAGCCTTGTGTGTCAAATTCCTTTGACTGTGATAACCTTAGCAGAATGAGCAGCCTGTCTGGGCACTAACCTTGTGCTCTGCACCTCCAATATTGTCCGGTTGCACCCCAGACAGGTGCAGAGCTGCTGAAAATTTAATGACCCTCAGGGACATGGTAGCTCCCTGATAGCAGGGCCCCATTCACTCTTCTCCACCACCACTCCCACTGTTGCTGTTTACCTCCATCTCCATGGTGACACACAGTAGCACCAACCAGCGATAAGATAATGAAGAAAACAAATCCGTTTGAATGGATGGGTTGCTTTCTAGTCACTAGCCTCAGGCATTGTTTGGAATGGTACATTGCAGGAGAGCGATAAGATTCTTGTTTCAGGGTTTATTACAAGCTGCAAATTTGTACTGGTGAGTTTTAAGAGGTAATTGGACGGCACAGAATTTGTTCTACTTGAAAAATCACAAGGACAACATGACCCCCTCGGTTACATCACCACTTTTGATGGTACAATGTAATGAGAGTGTTGCTGCACAGAGGTAATAGTACACACACTGACAGGTAGATAACGGTGACACCAACTACATTTGAACTACTTTTGTTGCCGTTTCTGTTTGCAGCATTAATGAACACACATTAATGAAAACATATCTATGAATATTATATTGTAGATCATCCCAAATGTTACACACTGGACCTTTAAGTTTTATTTCACGCTATTAACCCTAACACAGCCTTGAGAAAAAGACCTCTTACTTCCACCACCCAGGCTTTGACCGATACAGACTGGTAGGCTGGTTTGAGGGTTAAAGATATAATTTGTCACATTTCCGCATTAAAATGCATAGAAATGACTCAACCTATGTTGTATATTTTAGGCAATGGAAACAGAGCCTCTGGTAAACATGGGATAGGTCAGAAAGTGAGGAAGGAAGTTGGCGAACGTCTGCCTGAGTCACATCAGATAGATTTTCAGCAATGGTGGTTGTTTAACAATGTGGACAACAACTCCCATGATCCTTCTCTACTTCACATCCTCAAACTAGTCTTTAGTTATTGTTTTAATGTGAAAGACCCCCTAGTGGCAGAAATATACATACTGTATGTTTAAAGCTCAGTACCTTTTACTCTATATTTGATATGTATTTTCTTTATCCAGTATTTTTAATACAGAAAATGCAAGGAGCTAGAAGGAATTTTATTCCTGAGCAGTATTTAGAGCAACTAAAACCACTGAAACTCACAAGTAGAACTATCATATAGTAAAACTACATATAATATAACATAAAATATATGTGCACAATGTGATGAAAGACCAGTGCTGGTTTGCGCATGCATTTTCTTTATTGTATTGTTATTGTATTTGGATAAAGGTTTTACAAATGTAACACACAGCAGATTAGTTTTCTTTTGAATGACGTGCACAGGTCAAAGTTCATCTGTGCAGTAAAGACAAGTACTCTGGTTTGACCATAAAGCGGGTGCAGCATTCACTTGTCTCTAACGTTGTACTCATCAAGCAATCAGTCTTTTTGTGTTACAGTTGGCAAAGCACAGATGCGGCTCCCTTTCCCCGATATCTTAGTGTATGTTAAGATTTATAAGCTACATTTGAATTGGTAGCTCGTTCTCCTGTCCATCCCAGGGAACCAAAACCAACAGGCTTGTGTGCTGTGTCCCTGCTGATAGCCGCAGTAAACAAAAGAGTGAATGAATGAGGAAGGGTGAAAGAGAAAGAGGCTACAGACAGGTTATGTAATCAATTAGTGCAGATTAAGATCTTTGGCCAAACTATTCCATCATGCAGTTTCGAAGGGTGGACCTCTGCATTAGGATAATGTCAGCCATGTTAACACACAGGGTGGACTTGCAGGAAAATCAACAGTCTAAGATGATGATGAAGATGATAAACACTAGGAGTATAGTCTCAGCATATGAGTACCCTCTCTGCTTCTTCTCTGACAGCTACTTGTGTTGCCTCTAGAGAGGTTCAGTTATGATCTTTTAAGCTTTGAGATGTTAAGTTGAGTAATTCTTAAGTGAGGTGCCGTTAAGTTTAGACATGGAGAGCAAGGGGTAAATAGGTGAGTAGTTTTTCACCCAACGAATGGCTGAGCTGCACTTATTTTCTTCAGCACTAATCTTCTTAATAACTTCTTGGTACGAGTTGGAAAAAAAACCCTTTCTGATCTCTTTTACGACAAGAGGTTTAAACTGAGAAAATGCAAGGTGTAAGGTGCCATTTTGAGATGCTGTTGAGCAAAGTGCCCACAGTGTTACAACCGTACACTTTGTATTGTTATCAAGAACAAGGGAAGAACATGCTACTCTACACGTTTCAAAACTCACTACATAAAGAGGCAATAAACTTGGATATTGAAGTTAACATAAGTCTATCTAGTTTTGAGTACGAAATTTACTCTTAAGTGTCTTTCTTATGTATGACCACATCAAATGTCCATGTGTCCAAAAATTTCATACACAAGAAACTTAGGTCACATAACTGAATAAAGCTCATAAATCCTCCCACAGCACTCTTCATTATTTAGAGAGGGAAAAGCCATTGAGAAGTTAATGAGCCTTTATCAGGCAAGAAGTCCATTAGTGTGACATCAATTACTTTGCTAGTAATGAAGATGACCTTGGTCTTTGTTACCACATATATGGGGGGGAAGGGACAGTGTACACACAATTACTGAGGTAAATTACTCATCAGAGCTGAACTGGAAATATATCAAATGTCTCCTACATTAAAGGGGATTTTTTTCTCTTTGGAGTGACAAAGTGACTGACAAGGTAGCGCCCCTTGTGCCACTTGCTAGCTCTGTCGTCACACAAGGCTAACCTCTTTCTTAGCTCTTTGAAATCTACACCTGTTCTCCAAAAGCACTTATTTAGTGTAGTGTTCAAGCCTCTTCACTTTGGAGAGTTGTGACAAAGGCAGTGTGTGCTTTGTTACAATCGTACCCTTACCTTAACTTACCTCGAATACTCTGAACTCTTGTCATTCTCGGGACATTTGTGGTTAGGATTAATGACAAATGTAAGCTTCTCTCCTACACAGACCCCGGTGAGCAGGGGAACGTCAACCCACTTTGGTTACACTCGTGAATTATTAACCTGTCTGCCCACTTCCTGATGACAGAACCACAGATTACATCCCCCTTTTATTATGAAATATTTAAGATGTGTTTGTTTTTACTTGGAACCTTTCCCTCGATCGCCCGGACAAATATTTTTCTTGAAAGTCAAGCCTTTCTCAAACATTGGCATATTTCTGACTGAATGTATGGTATGCCTACAATTTCCACAGATGCTATTTTAAGAATGTGCATACCTTATCTGGCTCCAGATAGGACATGACTGATCATAAGCAGATAAAGCCTTAAGTGTTGGTTTAATGCAGGGTCTTTAGTCACCACAGTTTTGGCCTTGAGCCACATCCTTTTGAGGGAAAGTTTGGCAGGGTCATGTTTGTGTCTACAAGATCCACCCGTTCACTTAAGCCATGCCTTTCATTTCCCTCACCTTCTCCGCTCTTCTCCACCTACTCTGTCTGTCTTGGCCACTGGCAATCCTTTATTAAGCACAAAGCATGTCGGGCAAAGCCAGTGGAGTGATAATCCTCTTAGGAGACTCGCTGCTCATTTGTCAGTGTCCAAATAAAGCACAACCTTATGGGATTTAGTAGGGAAGCACTTGTTCATTCCCTGACATCCCGCTGTGACTGAAAAGATCTGGGACGTGGAGGGATACAGGCATTGGATGAGCTTTTGAATGGGAGGGGCTATGGGCCTTTGGAAATAAGGGGGAGCAGGATTTGGCTCAGCGTCACTGCTGTCTGCACTCAAAATAGTCGTATGTTGACATTGACTAAGGGATGTTTTCCTGTCACAGTTACCTGTTGCCTTCAGACTACATTTACACATTCAACCTTTAAACATTTGTTTCTGTCAGACAGCTGAAAAAAGTGTAAACAAAGATCTGATTACAGTTTCTGAGTAGCACACAATTTGTGTATTGCCTAATTATGAATTGGTATTTTAAATTAATTGTGGTATTGCAGTATCGTAAAAATTCAGCTTTTACAGCATCACGTGTTTCCGATTTTTATTACATGATCTAATTACACTGCATATAAACACAAGGCAAGGAATCATGTAGCAATCATGAGATAGCAAGTAAGTCCTGCTGGATTTCACAAGCAACCTAATACAGAACTTTCACCCAATGTCAGTTCAGCCTTGTGTAGACTGAATAACTTGCACATTCACACAGACTTCATCTGACACATCTGAGTTTAGCTGCTGACCATAATTAAGCATCTCTGCTTTCACTGACAGTGTAAAAGTTCCACTTGGCCACCCTGGTAATGATGGCAGCACTTGAGACGACCAAACAAGAATCAGCCACTGGATTAGTCTATATATCTGTTGATCTAATGTATCTTTCTTTGGCCTCTTGACTAAAAAAGATTTTTCCAGTCTGGGTCAATGCAGAAAAACTGAAAGAACTGAATCGTGTTGGTGAAACACAGAATCCTTTGACTTGATAGGATTTAGATCTTGTGTTTATAATTTAAATGGGCCATTTTTACAGGAAGCACAAACTGTAGTCATGAACGAAGTGACTTATGTTATTGAATGTGACCTTTTCTAGGCACGACAACAGAGAGGTTTTGTTTTGTTTTTTTGACAGTGTGCGTAATGGTTTTGCATTAAATTCAAATGTTGCATTGTCATGAAACTGAAGCTCTCTTTCATATATTATGCTGGAAAAAGATTTCTGCAAATAATCAATGCTTTCATTCTACTTTAAGAATACTGTATGTGTAAATAATATTAATCAATAGAATCATTATTAAATTTAAAGTTGAGGCAACTGGTGTTTACATGAAATTACTGAAGTCAGTCAAGTCAGTCATTTGTACCACAATACTATAAAACTGAATTCATCTCACAATTTTATTGATGCAGTCTTGAACGTTAATATTAGTTGAACAATCACTCTTCTTTCTACACAACCATTTAGGCTTCATTATAGAAATAATTTAGCTTATTGTTTAATTTCCCTACAGCGTTGTCAACTCCCAAACTAAGAATGGTGCCACGCCGCTCTACCTGGCCTGCCAGGAGGGTCATCTGGAGGTCGTCCAATACCTGGTCAAGGATTGTGGGGCAGATCCGAGCATCAGAGCCAATGACGGGATGACACCTCTGCATGCAGCTGCCCAGATGGGCCACAACACAGTGATCGTCTGGCTAGTATGTTGGAATGTCAGGACTCTATTCATCAAATCTAGTTAATAAATACAGAGTAAACTGATTTATTCCTAGATCACCATCCCATACTTAATGCATTCTTATTCCACAAATTTGATAAAATGTAAATGAACTTTCTACTTTTACTGCTTTATCATTTGTTAAAAAAATGTGTCCTGACCAGGTTCTATTGTTTACTTTCCCCCAAAAAAACAGATTTCATTAATCCCTAATCTTTTAAAAAGATGACTGTGTCGTTATGTTCCCCTCTTTTAGATGAGTTTCACGGAGATCAGCCTGGCAGGCAGGGATGGTGACGGGGCCACGGCCATGCACTTTGCAGCCAGTCGGGGTCATTCGAAGGTGCTCAGCTGGCTGCTGCTGCATGGCGGAGAGATCGTCACTGACAACTGGGGAGGGACCCCGCTTCACGACGCTGCAGAGAACGGTGAACTGGAGGTCTGTGTGTGTGTGTGCCTTATATTTTACTTATTTCTGCTCAGTCAGACTGGAATTAACTGTGAAATAGCAGACAGGTAAATACAGCTCTTCCTTTTGCCACTGTATTAGTACAGACAGTGAAACAAGGAGCACTTACTTGCATGATTTTTATAAAGCAATTATAAGGCTGTTATATACTATATATGTCCATCTGTTCTGGTCAAACTAGTCTTTGAATCACCTATAGAGCCTTTCTCTCCAGTTTTGGTATTGGTTTGCCAATTACCACTTAAAAGTCAAGTAATACAGTTGAAATGTATTATAGTGGCATGTTAATATTGGAATTTAAAGGCTTTCTGAAGAAAGATTTGGTGTTTGGTATTTTATTTTTGGGTTTTTAATTAAACAGTGTAGTGACTTTGTGCGTGTCATGAACTGTCCTGATACTTTTTAATAATAATTCATATCCATACTGAACCATCTGTTTTGAATGAATGGCATCAGGCTTATTGGATCTACCACCACTCTGACCTACTACTTTGACTAACATTTTGTTGTATCCAAGTCCGTTTAGACAGCTGTTTCAGCACAGGTTTGATCTGTTATAGAAAAAAATATGCATTTGCACTGCATAATAAGGGTTTAAAAATTTAACTCCAAAGGAATCGACACAAACCCTGACTGAGTGCTGGGCCAAATTTTGGACTGGAGAGAACATTAAGAAGCTAAATGAAACATGAGTCAGTTTGGCAACACAAAGCTTGCTCAGTCTTAGATCAACAAGCTTAGTCTGGTTTCCACCTGGCACTTGACAAAGGGGGTGGTTTAAGACTGTTTAAGTTTCTTTTGATTAACAAACAGAAATGCTTTGTTTTAGACAGGAAGAGTAAGGTTTCCCCCATAATTTGGGAACCACTGAAGTGAAGCATATCAAACTTTTTCTCATACCAACTTTTTATACCGTAATAACTAATTATTGTAGAGGTTTTTGTGTAAATTGGATTAATTTGAACTGATTGCAGCTGATTTTCAGCACAGCAGTCACTTTCACAGACATTGTCATTTCCTCCATCTTCTTCATACCTTTGACCACTTTCTCTGTCTCCTGTCTCCTCTCTGTCTTTCTCATGTCACTCTCCAGTGCTGTCAGATCCTTGTGGTCAATGGGGTGGACCTGGGCATCAGGGACCAGGATGGCTTCACAGCAGCAGACCTGGCTGAATATAATGGCCACTCCCAGTGTGCCAAGTATCTGCGCACTGTGGAGAACATGGTAAGAGACAGCTGTGCTCAACATGTCTAGCTGCCTAGACATAATTCTAAGAAATAACATAAGAAAAAAATACCAACCATGGGTGTCAGGATCCCAAACGGGGGCCCACGAAAAATCTGTGGGGTCACAAAATGATTAAAGCATAAGATATAAAAGTATGTTATATATTTCTGTTAAACAAAACTATATTTATTTTTCACCATTTGGATATTTTCATATTTTTCTGGTCCTATCATAGAAGAAAATATCACTCTTTGATTGAACTGTTCATAATTTACATAATTTGCGTCATAAGTGGACTTTATTTTAACAATCAACTTTAGATGACTCTGTGTTTGCTTGTCAAATTATTACACAATATCTGAGACACTGCTGGTTAGGTTCTCATCAAACTTGGAGACATATGTCCTATTGATGTGTTTTTTCCTTTTTCGAACACTAATTGGTCTAATGGGAGATCTACTCTTGCATTTCAAAACAAGACAACAGACAGTATTTGTTCCAGCCATCCTGTAGTCCAAATTCTGCGTAATATTAGATTTAGAATAGTCTAATAATAATAATAATAATAATGAATAATTTTCATTCCTATTTAGTTAAAAACACAGATATTGCCAAGACGGAAAATGTCAAGATGTGGATATTGCAGCTGTCGCTGAGCCAACATGTCCCTTGACTGACAACAGTTTATCTCTGCTAATTACCAGAGCTATTAACACTTCACATACAGTGGCCTCCACAGCTTCAACCAGCTGAAATCCCCAAGTGGCCAGAGGAATAATAACTCCTCCACACTAAACTCTCGTTGGTATGTGGGAAACATATTTCCCCCCTCTTGTACTCCTCCCAGCAGGGACATTCCGCCCACTGAGTGCTGCACTGTGGGAAAAGCAGAGGGCCCCAGAGCCTTTCTGATCAGCTGTGAGATGTTTCATTAGTGTGTAGTAATTAAACTCATAATGCTGTACTCCTCCTGTAAGTCATCAGGGAGTGAGAGGTCGTGGGATTTCAAAACTCATTAATGAACAAGTACATAATTCATGTTAACAATAATTAATTTATCTGTCTCGTGTAGCGCCACTGTATGGTTTTACATCTAAATTAAATGAACCAGACATGTTTTAATAGTGAGCAATTTGCTTAGGAATTAATTAATTAATAGACTCATGGTTTTGTTGTTTGTACTATAGTAAATCATATCCACATATTGGACAGTTCAACAAAACAGATGCATTGACACTATATTAATGAACTGCATCTTCTAACAGAGTGTGGAGCACCGTGTTTTGTCTCGGGACCCGTCAACGGACCTTGAGTACAAGCAGCCGGACTCGGGCCTCTCGTCCCCAAACACCACCATGCCCCCCACCAGTCAGGCGGCACACTTTGACATCAGTTCACCATCCAGCTCGCTGTCCAACTACGACTCAGCCAACTCCAGCCAGTCCAGCACTGGGGAGAAAAGGAGCAGCCTGACAACGTCACGAGGGCCGCCCACTCAGCTAAACACAGTCGCACACACAGGTATGCAACTCATGTAGTAACATTAATAAACTTTTTACACTTGTTTCTAAAGTAAAATGTCAAAGGCTCAATATCTCAATAGTCAAATATATCTTTTATCAGCTCACAATCAGAATGTTAGATGAAACAAGTTTTGCTGTCTTCAGTATTTCAGTCATAAGTCATAAATTCTTGAACGCCATATCTTACATGCCAAATACAGCATCTCAGCAACAGTGGAGCCCTCAACTATTTACTGTGGAGCTAAAATCATGGATACTTTGTCTACACATGTCACAGGTGCATGATATACTGGTGCTGCACCCTAGTGGTCTGTGTGCAGATAGTTTGTTTGGATGAAGAGGTGGACCATCATTAGAGTAACACATCTTTCTCATTTAATGTTTGAACTGAGCTGTGTATTTGGGACAAAAAATAAAACGTTGAAAGGTTTACGACTAATGCATTGCTTTGTTAATTTAAATCAGCAGTACACCTGTGAGGAACTCAGTAAATCATCAGTGAACATGCCAACACGTCTTTTGTCATACAGGTGCATCAGAATCAGCCATTTCAGACATGCAGGCGTATATGGACATGCTAAACCCAGACATTAGCTCGGACGTGCCCAAGAAGAATGAGATACCTGCTGATACTGTCTCCAAGCCCCCGCCACCGCCAACCTATCCACCCCCACCTCCCCCACAGTCTCCTCCGGCACTCCCTCCACCCCCAAGCTACCCAGCACCACAGCCCCCTAAGGAGCCCTCGTCAGCTGAGTTCCTGAAGGTGAAGAGTAACTTGCGGCACGTGGAGAGCAACACCGGCAAGAAGGAGGTAAGCACAGAAGTACTGCGCTCCAACTTGAGTTCAATAGATGAATCCATTTGTAGGTTGAGCCTCAGAGCTGTGCAAAGATTGACTCATCTAGAGGGAAATCTTTAAATCATTTCTTCATTTATTATTAGATCATTGTTTGTGCTTGTCTATCAAACCGTTCCACTGTGCAGAAATATACCTCTGGCTTATGAAGATAAGCAAACAGACAAAAAATAGGTTAGATAATTGTATCCCATACATTCTCCCTGAATTTTATTAAGAGCAGATATACTAAGTTTTGGGAAAAAGAAAATTTCTCAGAGTAAGGAGAAGAAAAAGGTTTCAGTATTTGGGATAAATTGGCCATCAGCTGCCATTTTCCCTCGTGTCTAATCAGTTGGCCTATTGCTTTTGTGTAACAATGTGCCTGGTCTGGGTCCCCCACAATGATGTTATTGTTTTAGCATGGCTAACGAGGCTAACAAAAATGCTCATTACTGCGGCAGGTCCTCTGGGTTGACACACACAATGGTTGTTGTGTTGGGTTTGATTTTAATTGTAGTAATTAATCTGGCTTCAGATCACTCAAAAGTTTGTTTAAAGAGTTGACAAGGAGCAGCAATTAAAACATTAGTCTCAGTGCTGCTAATGGTGGTTCAATAATGCTACAAGTACATTAAAACTGTTTGTGATTTTTTTTCCAACTGAATTGTAATAGAGTTGTTCAGAGAACATTGTAATTATGACAAAGATAACCAAGAGAGACGAGAGATTACTTTCACCTCATAAAGAATTTATTTCCTGACTGTTACCCTCTCTTCAAGTACGACAACAGCAAGACACAAGTCTTTGTCCAGTTGTATAAACAATGTTGCTGTAGCTTGGCCATCAATGTGCGATACTTTTTAATTGATTTCTGCAAAAATAACAGAAGCTAAATATTGTCTGAAATAATGTTTTTATAGTAATTGTCAAATGGCATACCCTCCTGATCGGCCTAATTAAAGGCTATCAGTGCTGTACCGATTCATTTGAAAGCAGAGATACAGTATAAACCAGGGAGCTGCAGAACCAGTTCAGACATAAAGAAAGAGTCTGTGTGTATAGAACTGCTATGCAAGTCAGTTGTTGTTAACTGGTAGTGTCTCCAGGGTCAGCTCTGTCTGTGTGTTTGTGTGTGTGCACGCATGCGCCATCAGCCATATGGGGGAGAGTTTTTAATTAGTGCCACCCCCTCTCCTCTCTCCACTCCCTCACCCTGGGCTGGTACCCAGGTGACCAGCCCGGGGCGCGCCCTCATTAACAATTTAACCAAAGCCAGTGCTCGGAACACATCCACACACAAACACACACAATTAAGATCAGTGTGCACCATATACATTGGGAAAAACAATCTACCTTGGGTGCCATAGTAACAGGGAACAGTAACCCTATCCAAGGACACAGCCGATCAGATGGACCAATCTCACAGCGTGTAGACCTATTAAAGCTGCAGTTGTAAGTGAAGGAAGCATCAGGTTTGTTTTGTTTATGACTATATAGGCTCTATCTCTCTCTCTCTGCCTCTGCTGTTGCTGCTGCTGCTGCTGCTGCTTCTTCTTCTTTCACCTAATTTGTCTGCATTTGCCTTGACTGAAGTCAAATGTTTCCTGTGAAGCAGCCGCACGAAACATTTGGCTCTGGTGATATTTTTATACTTTAGACCTACTGTAGTCCCTCCAGAAAACTTGGACTTTGAGATCTCACCCGTGATTAGTATATATTTTGCTGCTAATTCGGGATATTGAGGGCTTGAGTATTCTAATACTGCTAAAGCCTGAGAGATTTGAGTGTGGTTGGCCATGTTGAGGGCAGCACCTCGGTCTTTGTGTTTTGCATAAGAGGCACAGGACAGGGTTGGGGAGTGGTTGGTCTGCGGACTGGTGGTGACATCATTGCTACTGCTGTGGCCAGCCTGATTATTGATGAGGCCTGTGGGTAAAGTGAGAGGGCAGGTAGAGTGACAGGCGTAGCTCAGAACGGAGAGGAGTTGACGCTCTGGATTTGGTGACAGCTACTCTCTGTGCTCTGCTGGTCTTTGTGGATGAGGCTCTGTCCCGACTGGAGAAAGGCTGCAGGAGAGGATTCTTAACGCTAAGGTAAGGTATTGAGAAGAGTAAGAAAGATTTGTTTTTACCTGTGGCAAAAAGTGATTAATGTAGAAGTTTGGGCTGCAGCAAAGATATGACAAGTTGCTTGATGTATTTTGGCTAGTCTCCAGGTTCTGGAGCTGACTGAGCGGCTATGTGGTTGGACATTCGATGTTTAGCATCGGTTGTCATGTTTTAATTGTGTAGTTTCCTTTGCCTTTCTGTTATAATAGGCTGTTGTAAAGCATGCATGAAACTTGTTACTATTTTAAAATGACACAAACTACCTGTGCATGACCTTTAATAATATGAGGCTTTTGCAAAAACCGTGCGCAATTGTCCTAACCCTTGTCAAACTGCAAGCAGACAAACAACCTCTGATAATGCATACAAACCCATTAGACTCTAAAAAAAACACTGTATAAGAATGGCTTATGCTGACAGACAGGTCCATATAATGGGAAGGAAGGCTGGCTGTCTGTGTGTGTCTCTCTAAATGGATATTGTACATTTGCTATTGTTGGCCGACCTCCCTGGAGGATGACAATCAAACCATCTGTAGTGCTCCCCTGCTCACATTACCATCCCACCTGATGAGTGCTCAGGGACCATTTCTTTGAATGCAGACATGAGTCAACAAAGCTCAATAGGCTTATAAGAACTCAGGGAGAGGTCAGGGGTCAGCTGTCAATTATTTCCGCTTACGTTAACATCTGCTTGATGTCTGAGGCTCTTGTCTGGATTTAATGAAATGTCATGGTGTCTTTAAGCATTAAAATGTAAATGAATGTAAGTCTGATGCTGGTCCCTGGATTTGAAAGGCATGCAAGTGCATGCAAGTTCGAAGTTGACAGCTTTCAAGGTTATTTTTTGAAAATATACAGGCTCTTTTTTCACATTTGCATTTATTTTTGTGGTAAACTTTGTTGGACAAAAAGTTATTCTTAATTAAGTTATTCCTAGGAATGCAAAGTGTTTTAAGCCGAGTACGAAATGCAAATATGAGGCTTTTTGCATTAGGAAAATATATGCACAGATTGACCAGAAGCGTGTTAGTCATCCATCCATCCATCTTCCCAGTGTTAATGTCGGGTTCCTCATAAATGTAAGAAGTCCGACCCACATATATTCCAATAGCAGCATACAGTGAAGACTCTGAGATTGACAAGAGTTTGCTATTCTCCCTTAACAGCTTCAGTTATCTCAGATGTCAGAGCAGAAAGTGAGAGGGCTCAACTGAAAGGGCGAAGTATGTGGCCTTTGACCCTGCTCTGTGGATACGAGGGTCTCTCTTACAAGCTGCCTGTGAACTCTTGTTCTCTTGAACTCTGTTCTTTGGCCCCACAGTTATCACATGAAACATAAATACTAATGTTTTACTGGAACTGAATGAAAGCCTTGTTCTGTTACTAAAATAAGGCTGCCTTTATAGTCATCTCACATTAGATGACTAATCTGGCAACAAAAGCTACTAAGTATGTTTTACAGTGTGTGGATGTGGAGTTCATTCCAAAAGCAGTGTTTAAAACCCTTTCCGGCCATTCACCACTCAGTATTTCTAAAAAAAGATCAATTATTAGGTTATTTTGTTAACCTCCTCCTGTTTCTTATTTACATTTAGCTAAAAACAAAAAGTAGCAATGTATAATTCTCTCACAAATATATTTTCTCTTTAAATTTGCTAATCAAAACTATATTTTGAAAAACATGCAAATGGAAGCTAATGAAGCTCATTTTTTTTAAATCCCAGCAGCTGATTCTTGGAGAAAGCCACGACAAACTGCGGCGTGTTGACTCAAACAGGAAGTCAAGGAGCTTCAGCAAGCAGCCCAGCACTGGGGACTACTACAAGACGCTGGGCAGTGACACAGCCGAGCCCCAAGAGAGCAAAGGCATGGCGCCCAACGAAGAGGTAGGCCAGATCTCTGCTCTTTATGACAACATCCATATGTTCATTGTTATAGATTTTAATACATTTCAGTAAATGCATCAAAACATTTTTCTTTTTATATCTTGCGATACTGTAAAAAAGCTATATGTAGAAATGTTACCACAACTGTCAGCCTTTATTCCTCTGTAAATAAACAAGTGCTGACCTGATGACTGAACGAAAAATGCCAACATTATTTTAAAGTAGATATCTTTAAAGTTTAAAGATATCACAAGCTACTCTTTTCCTTCAGATGGCATTTGCTAAAATCTATTAATGTGTATTATAAAAAAAAAAATGTTGGTCAAACTGCTTTATTGTGTTTACTGTCAGTCATCTGACATCCACTGGGAAATAATCTTTCAAAACTGGGTCACCCCAAAAAGCTTTGTTCATTAAGGCAGCAGCTGATTTCAGGCTAGATGTGTATTTAAACTACATTTTAAGATCAATTATTACATGTATTGCTATTTAATTTTTCCATGCACTGTAAAGTGTTTGCAAAATTACAAAACAATAGTAAAAGGGCTGTAACTCTATTGGCTACTGGTATAGTTTAATAAAAGTAAAAGTTTAATATACTTTTCGCTCTGTTTGTAATGTTTAGGGTTGTGTAGTCATCTCAGTACCTTATAAAAGCTCTTATTCAGGGTGAGGTTGGGCTGGGTGTTGTGTTGGCATTAGATTACCACAGAGGCTGCACTATTTGAATATACATTATGTCACACGACATGTTACATAATCTTGTGTCCTCTTGAGCTTTTGTTTGCCACCTGATGCAAACTGCAGCCTCATTTCCATTGCCTCTTGAGTCCCCACCCTATTGTGTAAACTGTCCAAGAACTTGCAATGGAACAAAGTCAGGACAAACACAGACAAGAGAGCAGGAGGTCATCAATGACCAGACGCCCCATAGAAAGTAGAATCCATTATTTTAACTTCCTCTTTTCTATGGCCAGCGATCTGTTGTAGGTGTTAGTGACAGCTTGTTGAATCCTTATGAGTTGTTTCCATTTGTATTAATGAATGCTTGTTATTTAATTTTCTTTTTAAATAGACCTGCAAACGTCTGTGACAACACTTTAAACATAAATATGCGTAAAGACATTGTGAGGGAATTAGGTTTGATTCAAATTTGGCACTAAAATCAATTAAGGAAATGTTTTTATTATTATATAACACAAGGTTGTTTAAAGAAATTAAGTTTTGCAGCTATTTCATGCTACACACATAGATCCCCATCTACTTCAACTGCATCTGAGCACCAAGCATCATCAGTATTAACTCAGTGTGTGCCTCTCCTCACACATATAAAACTGAATGCGCCTTCTTATTTTTAATCATTCATTGTGCTCCCCAAGATTTGGTTAAACTACCTGGTTGTTTCCAAGTACGTGACAAGCGGCTGAATTAATAGTCTGCTAGTCTCTCATCAATGTCCCTGGAGAGGTGTTTTTATAATCTCATGGGTATCAGGAGGGGTGTTCTGGGTGATATGGGGTACAATCCACATTGAGCCAATTAAGGCCTCAGTGGGGCCCCTACTGGTCTCAGAGGCACTCTAGCAGATGGACCGGTTAATCATACGGAAGCAACGGCACGTGCTGCCAAGACCCATCTGGACACAGCCCTCCCCCCAACTCTCTGGGGGGTTTGAAAAGTAAAGGGGGCAACAATGATGAGCACGCGTCTGAAGAACAGAGAAGGGGCGGGGTCGAGGTTAAATGTCACGGTCTATTAATTTGCTTCCAGCAGAGTTATGGCACGCTTTCAGAGCGTGTCAGACACGTGCGTGCTGGGGGGTGCAGGGCGTGGAGGTTAAAGCACTATCACTTGCAGTGACAGATGGCTTCTTCCCACTGTTTTCCCTCAGTGTTTCCCCCTAGAGATTAGGTCATATTAGCTTTGTTATTAGGGTATTATGTCTTTATGAGTTGATTAAAGACGGCAGGAAGCAGAGGGAGGACACATCTAATAAGCCGTACATCTGTCACTGTTGACAGTCTCTGTGCAAGAATTTACTCCTCGCTTAGACCAGCAGGAGTGACATGCCTATGCAAGGAAGGAAGGAAAATCCACTGTCACTGTTTTGTGTTTATTATTTTCAGTTAATAAATAAAATAATAAAATAATAATACACAAAAAAACTTATTTGTAAACTGTTAATTGTGTTAATTCATTATCAATTGTTGTAATAATATTATATATTTTGTTAATATTATTTACATGTTTTACAAGAATATACAGCTGACAAATAAAAAAAATAAAAATGACACTGATTACCTGTGACAAAAAAAAGCTTTGAGATTTTAATTCTCAACGTTCAAGTGGTGTTTAAATTTAAGTAGATAGCATAATTTCATAGGCCACCTGTCACATCCCTGTTATCAGTGACCAAATATTGGCACAGAATAATACAACAATGTGGTTGCTAGGAGAAACCCTGCAGGGGTGACTACAACAACAAGTTAATGGGCATAAAGTATGACTGACTAATTATGCTCCGTCCCTCCCTCTTCCCCGATCAGGGCTCGGTGTTATTGGAGGAGCCTACTGATGGCCCCGCCCACAGCTCTGAGAATGGCACCACAGAGGAATCGGTCACGCACCCACCGCCTCCACCTCCGCCACCTCTTCCCCCAAGCAACCAGACGCCAACACCCCCTCCGCCTCCTCCACTTCCCCCAGAGACGCCAACCACCCAGAATTACTCTGCTAGTAGCACCTCCACCAACCAGAGACGTCCTTCTTCCTCATCAGGAAGTGAGTGTCCATTTACTATTTTTTTCCTCTTTCTCCATCCTTTCATTTTTTTTGGTTTCTCTTCATTTACTACTTTTTTCTGCCACTAAACGTCTCTTGAACGTTCTTAAAAAAAGAAAAAAGCAATACATTTATGCACATTTTTTTCTGGTTAAATTAGCTTATACACATTGTTACACATTGTACCTAGAAAGCAGAATCCCTGGTATTAATGGGCACAGTGTAATCTCACTGGGTAAAGATGAGTCTGACCCTAGCATCCTAAATAACAGATTATAAATTAATGATGTAGGGCTACCATTACCCTGAGAACTGGTTTAGTGTTCAGCCATTTCCTTAAGTGCCCCACACTGCCCTGGATGCTCTTATCTGACCGTATACATGCTGTCTAGTAACAAGGAAATTTGAACTTTTATGTAATATTGTAAATTGGTAAAAATGAACTGTCCGTAAGGCTTGAAAATGCATGTTGCAAATTGGATTGTAAGAATTTGTCCTCATTGTGGGGTAAGATGTGACAGTTTGATTAATGCAATGTCCTTCTCCAAAAAACGCAATTTGAGTACGAGAATTTCACCCCACGAGCTTCGGAAATTGAAAAGTTGTTATATTTGATTATGCCCAAAACGTGTGATCCCTTCTTGCTTCAAAGAACTTTACAGAAAGATCTGATAATAATCAACAACAAGACAAAGTTAAGTAATTAATTATATAACAAATATCACACTTGGAAGTAAACGGAGCACAACACACCATCTTATGAAAGAAATGTATATAACCTAGCCTAGCCTGCCAAAATATGAACCTCAAGGAAGACGAGGAAAATGTCCCAAAGTAATCTTTACTTATTAAATATTTGGAAGATGAGAGAAACCATGGATCGGCATCAATCAATTGACGCAAAAAATCATACAAGACAAACATACATTTTTTTTCTCCTTTGGTAATAATTACAAATATACCGAAACTGTTCACTTCCATGATTGTCAAGCCAACACTGTCCTATTATTATGGCTCAATCATTTTTCTCCCCTAATGTACATTTCTATTTACATGTTCCTTCTTTCACCTGCTCTATCTCCCCCTGTTTCTCTCCATTTTTGTTTGTTTTGTTTTTTGTTCCCCCTTTTTGCCTGCCATGGTCTGTCCTCACTGCTGCTCTGTCAAGGCGGGGATATGTCTGCCCCTCAGGCAGAGGGAGGGGTCCCGAGACAAATGAAGAGTAAGTACAGATTGTGAACCAGTCTTTCAACTAAATCAAACTAAACTAAAATCCTGATCTAGAGGTTAGAGTAGTCATATAAATAGTTTGCCAATCTCTGTTGCTAACGGCTATTTCAAAGGAAGTGATGTATTTTCATTTCTAACATTCATTTCTTTCTCTAGGAGAAAAGGCCCTTTGATCAGAACACTGTGTAGGTAGGCTGATATTCACCATGGCTAGACTCAAAGATATCAAAAACCGACGCCTGTACTCTGGTTTGATAATATACTTTCAAACCAACAGCATTTGAACAAAAAAAAAGAAATATTGATTATACCAAACTATTTTTTATAATGTAACATTATTTTACAATGAATAAAACAGCCACATAGGGTATAGATAACAAAAAACAAAAGGTTTGTTTAGAACAGAATTCCTGGTGAAACATATTTGTAAACAGCATGTCAGGAAGCTCATTATCTCAAACAAAGGTTCAGTGAAGGATCAATTACAGTATATGGCTTCAGCTTTGTTTCATAGCTGACAAGCAGCTAATAGGGCAATATACAGTTTAGTTTTTTTATAAACCAGTAATAAAAAGTAACTTCAATAAAGCTGTAAACTATTAATTGCTGAATTTAGGCACCTTTTTACAATCTATGTAAATTATCTTTCAGCTTTGTTCATCTAATATCCTTTTATGGCCCACCTGCTGCCTAATAGTAGAACCGCAATAAAATACTCAAAGGTAAAGAGCAGGCTGTGCTCACGAATAGCCTGAGTTGTGCTTCAGCGTTAATCAGGTAATAAACAGGCAGTTAGGTGGTTATAAAATTAAAAGCCACAAACACATGTGAGAGCTTAAGATGAGTTTACGGCTCAGATACTTGTTGACACGATGGCAACCAACCAGGTGGCTGATTGAAAATGCTGCTGCAACAATGTAGATGGTTTGAAGTTCTCTATCGTTTTGTATTGATCGGGGGGGGGGGGGGGGTTATACTTTTTATATTGTACAGGATCTACAGTGCTAAGGAGCAATGTGTGTGCTCACTAACAATATGATTTGTTCTACAATAAACAGACATAAAATTAAAAGCCACTAACACATGTGAGAGCTCAAGAGGAGTTTACAGCTCAGAGGCTCATTGTGATGACAGCAACAAACCAGGTGGCTGATTGAAAATGCTACTGGCATCATTGTAGACGGTTAGAACTTCCTCATTGTTTTCAACTGATTAACAGGATGGACAGCATCCTACGTTTTATATAAGAGGACATATGCACGACACATCTCTATCTGTAGTGCTCGACAGATGGAGCAGCTCTTAATTTCTAACTGCGAGCAGAAAACCTTTTGTGCTTGTTATGTCCATCATGAGAGGTCATTTGTCAAATGTTCTCTACCTGTCACAGCTCCACCCTCTTTTACACTCACTTTGGCAGACCTACGGAGTCCACACCCCAAGCCCAAACAGAATTTAACGAACAGCCTATTACTTAAACCAATACCAATACAAAAGGTGTATGGAAACAGTACACCAATCATTTTTTTTAGCTTTTAAACACATCTGATTGTGGATAATCAAGTGTTCTGGAGCTCTGCAATGAAGATTTGTTAGGGGAAAATGGGTGAAGGTAGGCTGTATATATTGCCAAAATAAGAAATAATACGTTTTTGTGACTGATGCAGTCACATTTAAGTAGGAATATTTTATTTTTTACCAGGACTTTAAAAGAGTTTTGGTAGCACTCACTGAGCCTTGAAATGAAGACTTATTGAACAATGTAATCTGTTGACTGTGAATTTAAAGAGATGTCACATGTTGTAAAAGTGGGTCAGGGTTCAGTAGCTGTTTCCTTTTATCCACAAACTGTTCACAGACTACAGCATGAGTGTGTACAACTGCACTTTGTATAAGGAGATGTAATCCAGTAAATATGAGGTGTGATGTGTCATGAATGCGTGTATCGAATTGTGTGTCAGGTTTGCTATGGTGAGGATTGTTTCGGAAGGGCGGACTAACAAGCTGGGGATTGAAGGGTGACTGTGTGTGTGTATGTGTTTGTATGTGTGTTTGTATGTGTGTGTGTGTGCATGTGTTAATTCCTAGCCAGCTTGCCAATGGCTCGCTGTCACTTCCAGTTACTGGTGAATCCTTTAGATTTCCCCCGACTGTGATGATGGGTCTTTAATAGAAAGCGGCTCTCTCCTCCCCAAGAGAGAAAGACAGAGAGAGGGAGAGCAAGGGAGAGTGAGGAGGGGTGGCAGGCTAGTGAGGCTGTGTGTCCAGCTAGACCATTGTGGTCGACACAACAGGGAACACTTTTACGGGAGGACTTTTTTTCCATTTCCCAAGTAGAAAATGAGTAATCAATGAGGAGCTGAGGCATTCATTGGAGATTTACCTTCACTAAAACAGGTGAGGTAGCTGTTGGCTTTTGGTGTAAATAGCATAATAATGCCATAATATGTGAAATTTAAATGTAAAATAAATGTAAAGTTGTATATTACATCATCATATTTGATTAGAGGATTTTCCAGCCACATCTTAAAAGTTTGTTGCATAGATCAAACTTAAATAACACCTATATTGCTATTGTTCCATATTTTGGTACTTTATCATTGACATTGGAGTTTGCTATATTGCTGTAAGTATATTTGTATTTGGTTATTCATGTATTAATGTAACAGTTGTAAAATGTTAATATTTTGAAACATTAATGGATAAGTCAGCTAAGTTAACAAAAATGTGGCCTATATGTAAGCACTACTGTGACATTGCCTGATTGAAATTTAAAATTTCTTTCATTTTGTCTGTCCTTAAAAAGTGAAAACAAAGTTCCTTTGTAATAGCATTACCAATAGAGGTTGTAGTTGAATTTGTTGCATTGTTCACTTTAAGCAGATTAGGGTCTATGGAAGCTGAATGTATATTTTACCAAAGACCTACAAAAGATCATCAGTAGCTTAACTGTGCCTACTCTCTCTGGGTTCAGTGTAGTTAAAAAAATGTAATTGCTCCTTGCTAACTAATCATGGCTCACTGCAACTGCTCATAGATGTAACCAGTTGCCTAATGTGCTGGATTATTGTTGGTTTATTTGCATTGTTGGATTTAGTGGGGTTTGGTAGCTGGGAAGCCATTTGAGTAATCCAAACTGTGTCAACCCTTTTCAGAGAGACTTAAACAGAGATGTTTTAAGAAACCCTGAACCCCACGAGTTATAAAGGCAAACGCCAATCGAAGTTTACAAATCTAAAAAGAAACTTATCGAGTTTATCAATGGGAGACAGCAACTCAGTACACCATAATGACCCACCATCACTGTCCAACATTCTCCAGGTCACCATTGTTGCCTGCCTGATCGGATGAAATATTTAACACTGAAATGCCACCCAACCCTTCTCTCCCTCCCTCTTCTTCAGTGTATCTCTCTCACTCTCTCTATTTCTCTCTCCCTCTAGTCCGTCGTTCTATCTACCCGGTTTCACTTTTCTGCTCCATCCTTTTGTCTGCAGGCACAAAATCTTTCAACATGATGTCCCCCACTGGCGACAACTCTGAGCTGCTGGCAGAGATCAAAGCAGGGAAGAGCCTCAAGCCCACACCTCACAGTAAAGGCTACACCACTGTCTTCTCCAGCAGCGCACCCACAGGCAACAATGTAGGTCCACAGCCTTCCTCCACTACCAATGATACATTTATACAAATATACAAATACAGAATTGCTCATTTTAGAAATGTAGCCAAGACTTTTGCAATTACTTGTGGATTTGCTTCTTAAATTAAGTCAGAATAAATTAAGCTAAATTTTCAGTGAAACTTTATCAATCAGAATTGAATTTGATGCAAATAAGAGATTAGTCATTTACTGATGATTACCATCCCAGAATTTGTTAATTGTCAAGTTTTAATACGTTTGGAAACTGCACAATATTTGTGAGGGGACACCAGAGCTCTCTGACCATATTTCATTGGTCCTTGTCCTGGTCCTGTCACTGGTTCATCAAGGCTAAGAAGGGCTAAACTGGCAACCCATGATCTCGATTACTTAAATTCTTACTAAAAGGATGAGATTCTTAGTCTAACACCATGACAAATACCATGATATAGAGCGAACAATGACACAGCTAGTAATGTAACTAATCTTAGTTACATTACTAGCTGTTACAGCTAGCTGTGTCATTGTTCGACAGAACTCTGCTTTTACTGAAATCTATCCGTTGTTTTAAGACACAAGTGCTCTACATTGACATACACTGTATGAGTTCAATTTAAACTAGTCTAAAGCTACTGTACTCTAAAGTAAAGGCTGACTACAATAATGTGTCAGAATCTGGAAGAAGCCTTGACATCATGTGACACACTCAATCAAAAGTAGTGATTATTGGCTAAAAAAATCCACCAGTTTTGTCATGCCCCATGTTCATCTGTGTCTTTATTTTAATCCAGGGAAACACTGCATCTCCACCAGAGACCCGCACATCTAGCCCACCACCCAAGCCGCCATCCCCTCCTCCATCCAATACGTCTGTCACTTCTCCACCTACCACCCCTAGTCCCAGCCCCAGTCCAACTGGCTCCGGATCTGCCAGGACCATGTCAAGCTCTGCGAGCTACGAGCAACTGTCCTCCAACTCTGTGGTCAATGGGAACAGTGGTGGCGGCATGGTAGGAGCAGAATCAGGGCGGAAGCTGAGCCTTGCAGATGTGGAGGCGCTAGTGCCTACTCATGATGAACAGGGGAAAGCGATCCCTGAATGGAAGAGGCAGGTGATGGTGCGAAAGCTTCAGGTCAAGATGCAAGAGGAAGAGGAGCACAAACGCAAGGTAGGCCAGACGTTGCAAGGCAGAGGTTTTGTTGTGTCTTAGCTATCCCATTTGTGGTCCCATAAATTCAAAATGCTCTGTAACCTTAACATTATATATGGTTTCAGTTTCAAATAATTAACACAAAGGGGATAGCTGATGTTTGGATTTGAGTGTGGATTTTCGTGATTTTGAACAATGAGCTGTATAACTCTTTTGTTAGTATTCATGCACAGACATACGTTTAGCTCCTTTTGACTTGTCAGTTAGGGTGACAGCTAAAGGAGATGGTTTCTGTATTGTCAAACAGGCTGCAGTTAGGGACTTGATCACATTTTGAGCATTTTTGCAGTTTAATTACAATCACCTTATTATTCACAAGGGTTTCAGTCAACTCTCTTGATGAATTGTCACTATTGTGTATTTAGACATGGTATTAATTAGTAATTCATACTGTAGCAATCCAAACACGTTAGTCCTGTGTAATACAAGGTGGACTCTATGCAGTATGTGATTTGATTGATTAAATTTGACTGATTAATCATTTATTGCCATCAAGCAATCTTCTACTCTTAAATGATCCAGGATGTAGAAATTTCTCTCCAATGTGCTTTAGTGATACTGGCATGTAGTGTTTTGTTCATCTGTTGAGATGCAGTGGCATAATTACAATGTGTAAGTGGCTGTTACATAGTGACATAGCTAGCTTTAAATGTACACATCATATGCTCACTCATTTTTAAATTATTTCATTGTTTCTTAATTCATCTCTCTGCATGTTTCTCATATTTCTATGAAATATCTTCATTAATAACAAGAGACTCTTTGGGGTGCAGTGAATTGAATACTTGGCTACTTTGCCCATCACAACATTAACACACTTGACTAATGGACACAGTGTGGGGCAGGTGTTTGATGATGGAGTTTTGTGGCTCCAAGTTTTTACATGCCGATTCAGTGGTGTGATGCCAGGCCCATTCACACTACAGGTCAACTAGTAATAACAAAAATACTAAATAAAAAAACTACATTTGTATATCACTCAACCATAAGTTGTAAATACTGCCAATCTCCTTAAAAATTTTTGGGGTTTTTTTTGCAGACAGAACATATGTTTAAGAGTAATTGCACACCATGTCCCTTAATGATAAAAACCTTTGTTGCACTGACCTCTTTGGGTTGACAGTTTCAACTCTGTTGCACCTCTAACCACACCCAGTGTGGTTTCCTATCACTGTTGGGTGTGGACTGAAGTGTGTCTGTCTGTTGCACTGGTGCCAGTACCCAACAGTGATGTAACATTGCACTATAGTGCCGTGTTACATCATGTTTGGGTTGCAGACAGACGGAAAATTCAACAGATGGATTTCAGTAAAAGCAGAATTCTCAGAATTTGTATAGTTCACATAAAAGTGGTAAAGAGAAACTGCAAAGAGGAACTGCGCAAATATTAATGTAAAAGATCTGCAGTGTCAAGTGCCAAGAAAAAGACAAATGTAGACATGTTGCAGACCCTTATTAGTATTCTATAAATATAAACATAGCTATTGGTATAATTAATATAGTTTGCCAATTAATTAAAAAAGGACAAAGTCTTCTCTGTTCTCTTTGACTCAAAAATAAAAGTAGAAAGTTATGCGCATCTAATGAGGCAGTGCCATTGCACCACTAAATCCATGTAAGTCCTGTGTGTCAAGATGGATTTGCACTGAAGCGTGTGTTTACACCAGGAACCTCAAGCTGAAGGAATCCCTCCCTCCTTCCCTTTCTTCTTGTCTTTTGGTCTCCTTTGACCTCTGATTTAGTTTGCGGCAAGTGGGCACTACCAGCCTCAGGAATGGCACTACTCCCACGTCCACAATGCCATTTTGGGCCCATTTGGGGAACTGATGACAGAGGATGACCTAAACCGCATTGAAAAGCAAATTGAGAACCTGCAGGTCATGCATAAGGTCTCGGAAGTTGAGAAGGAGCTGGAAGAACTGGAGCGGGAGCTTCACCAGCTCCTACCAGTTTCTGCTGCCCTCAATCAAGGGCAATTCTCAGTCAATCCAAAACAGGTGCATGGCCAGGCTGAAGATCTTCCAGCCTGGTGCAGCAAGATTTCTACCCTGCTTAAGAGTATGGCCATTCTTCTCGCCACCCTAGGGGGGAAAGAGATAGACATCTTGGATCTTATATGTCCTGTATATACTCAAGAAGAGGCAAGGAATGTGAGCACAGGTCAGTCAGAACAAGCAGGCACTGGATTTATTGCACGGTCTCAGTCTTTCTCAACAAGAGAGGAAGTGGAGAAGGAGATAAAGCAGTGTGGAGTGTCAGTGAAGAACCTCAAGGCCAATTATGAAATTCAGAATCAGTCGCAGTCCACAGATAACAAAGCAAACAAAGTGTACAAACGCAAGAGGTCACTCCCTGTGGTAAGTGAATCTAGTTATTGTCCAGAGACAATTCGTGAGGATGATGTCCCTAGTTCCTCTGCTGAGGTCCTTCAGTCCCACACTAATGGAGATTCACCTTCAATTGAGGAATCAGTCTTACCACTTGTTGAAGAGCCAGTTATCGTCGCATCTCATGCTCCTCAGACATATGTGCCCTCTGAGGTACTGGCTCCAACCAACATTGAACAGTTCAACCAGGTTCTTTCTGCAGACCCCATTTTAAATAATGATCAACTAACAAGAACCTTGGAGGTACAGACAGATCTAAGCTACGTCCAGGAATGCATTGAAATGAGGAAAGAGAGAATCGTCTTCCTATTCCTTGAGCACTGGCGGAAGTACACCATCTCTGAATCTTATCAGACTAAATATACTGGCAAGAGAGGAAATCATTTAGATGTGGGCTGGGAGGACTACAACCAATTCAGTGCACAGATTGGTGGGGAGATACAGAGTGAAGACGACAAACTCCTCCTTTTCATGAAGTCAAAGCAGGTGGTAGGGAATCTGATTGGCCATTGGAGGGCAATCATGAGTCAAGTGCCCACACGCCAGATCCGCAGGCTGAGTCGTGCCCAGATGATCTACTGGCCGGAGCACTTCTTGCCACATATCAACGGGTCACCTGTGAGTTACGAAAGCCTAACCCTTGACCTCTTCATGCTTGGATACTTCCAGTTGCTGGAAATGAACATGTCTCGCAGTGAGCGCAAATTCCGCCACCTGTTGTGCTATGAGATGTTTGACCGTCTTGGTAGCCATAAATGGGAGAACATAAGGCAGTTTCACAAGGAGGTCATGGAGGAAATTGAAAAAGGGAAGAGAGACTGGGTAGATGGTTTTGAAGACATAAAACTCAAGTATTTTGGAGACTCTGGTGATGGAGGAGGTGTGTTGACAGCTTCTCTACATTCTATGTCTCCTGACATGACCATTATGCCAATGCAGGAGTCACTCCCTCCCCCACCTTCTCATCCTCCACCTCCACCACCTACCCATCCTGCACCCCCACCTCCAAGTTCACAGTCTACTCCACCTGCACCATCTCCACAATCTCACAATGACCATTGCATGGAGCAATTGGAGGACAATGCTCAGAGGGATGTAAAAGCCAGTGAGCAGATGTCATCAAATAAAGCAGTGATTTCTAACGGGAACAGTTCAGAGAAGGACAATATGCAAAGCTTGACAACCGCAACTGTACAACAAACTGATGCAACAGCAAAAGCTGAGACACTGCAATCCACAACAGAAAACTCAGGACCAGATCCAGTGAAAGATGTTCCACCTGTTACTGTTAAAATCATAGAGGAACCTCATGTTGATAAACCTCCACCCAAAGATGAACATAGTGAAGACTCAATTAAAGTGATCTATGAGCTCAAAGAGTTTAGTAATGAGGAGATTATCAGATACATTGACCGAAGCTTTGCTTTTTGGAAAGAAAAGGAAGCTGAGCTTTTTGATATCTAACAACTAAGGGTTCACTAAAAGCCTAGTTCACCTATACAACCAAAGAGGAAATGTATAATGAGCAGGATCAGGGAAACCAACCTGCAAAGTGGAGTATGCTGAGAAAGGAAACTAATCTGGTGTGTTAGCTTTTAGGCCATGTCACATAAGGGACTTAACTGCAGTGAGTCAAAGAGCATCCACTTAGCTGTACAGACTTTACCATTATGCCGAAGTGGATAAAAGGTGGTGATGTCAAAATGCACACAAATTTGCTACAACCATTTCATTTTGAATTTTGTTGAACCTATAGGTTTTTGAATCTAGTATGATTGATTGCCATGGTATTCTACTTCTATAAAAAAACAAGTTTTTAAAGGAAATGATTTGCCATAAAAGTCATAAAATGTGTTTGTTTAGATCATCTTTGCAATGAAGGGCATAATTGGTAAAACTCTGCACTTTGTATTGAATACTTCAGATTGAGAAAGCCTCAGTGATTCACTATCTAAGAAAGGCAAGGGATTCACGTCACAACTGAAAAAACCTAATATTGTAAGCGATCTTTGTTGCTTGAAAAAGGCAAAGAAACTAGGTTTTCAGTGGGTTTGCAGAAGTGTAATGTCACTTTGTGGTTTACAAATGGCCCTTGTCTTTAAGTCTGTGACCTCGTGATTTTGTTTATACAATGTGTGCCTTTCAGTATAGATTATAAAGATTAACAGACATGGTAAATGCAAGGCCTGAAGAAACAGCTCAGTTTGTTACTGTTTTATTTGTAATTCAGAACTCAGCAAATTTCACTTGACTAAGCTATTATCATCTAAATGAAACATCAAATTTAGGGTTTGTAATTGTTTCATTAAATCTGTCCCATACTTTTGTTACTCTATTTATAATGAGTGTTTTTGAGAGATTTGCTTAAGCTAATTTAAATTGCCGTTCCTTTATTATATGGTTTCTACATTGCTGTTAAAAATAAAGTTTGTTGACATTTTTGTGATTATATGATTTCAGTAGTTCATTCCAAAGTCATTTTACTTTAACTGTTGGGTTTACTCAACTGAAAGACATGGCCAACAGAAACATTTTAAACACCATGCTGGAGTGTGTAATCCTTTGCTGTGACACTTCGCACTTCGTCGCAGTGAAGAACCACACTATTCGCGTAGTGTCTCTTCTGCAGCATCAAGATTACCTTCAAATAACCCTCTTAGCACCACCCGCTGTCATGCTATCCGTGGCTTACAGGACCCATAAGGAGGTTACAGTGAGGCTTGATCAACTCACAGCCCAAAAGGGAAGACAGTCAGCTGGTAAACTTAAAGGCATATATATAGATTTGTAATTATGTACAGTATTTGTTTCAGATTTGGTGAATGGAAATATCACAGTAATGACTGTGGTAATGTTTCTAATAACACTGAAGTTATACAGTGTAAGTCATGTACAAAACTAGAATTAGTTCAGTTTTTAATCTGCCAAGCTTGCACACTGCACAAGCGCAAATATTTGCATTTAAAGTATCGCTTGCACATATGCAAGTGACTGTAAAAAGCATTAGCAAATACAAAATAAATGTCAAATTCATTAAATTGATACTGTAAGCCCACTTCAACAGTATGTGTCCAGACTATCTAAGGTTAATGTTTTCTAGGCTAGGAATTCATATGGAAAGATGATGCAGTACTTGAGATCAGCTCAGACATGAAATAGAAAGGTTCTAGCCTGTATCTAGCCAGCATACAGACACAAATACATTTCATACACGTTTTAGTTGAATCATTGGGAATTTTTAGAAAACAAAATATTGATTGTAATGGTTGCTTGCCCGGCTAATGCAATGTATTGACCAAGCTCTGTGGCTCACATGAATGTCGTCTGTTAGCACAACAGACGGCATGAACCTGACCCAAAAACAAAGACCTTTCCTATCGGGTACATTTTTAACAGGGTGTCACTTAAGATTTTCCTTTGTTTTTAAATGAAATGGCCCAACAACTCTTTAGCTGATACAACTGATTAACTTAACTGTTTCCTTTACTTGTCAGTTGTTATGAAATTTATTGGACACATGATTCAAAAAGCAAGATGTTGTGGATTTTTTCACCAGCAGTTATTCCTACATTGATAAAAGGACAGCTCAGTTAGACTGTGCTCTAACCTGTTACCTTACCACAAGGATGTCACAGGTTTGGTTTCTGTTTCCATGTTCACTCCATTCATCTGGGCTCATTTTAGTGCTCTGTTACTTATCAAAGACAATTTTTGTGTGGATGGAGGATTATAGTAATGGTAGTAATGTTAATGTAAGTGATTTAGGGGCGTCCTGATAGGTCACCTGGTAGAGTGCCATGTACCAAGGCTGACTCCTCAAATCTAAATTGTGGCCCATTGCTGCATGTCATCCCATCTCTCCGCCTTTCCTGTCTATCTTCAGCTGTCCTTTCCATTGGTGGCAAAAAGCCCCCAAAAATATATATTAAAAGGATATCAAATACCAACTCTTTGACAACCCAAGGCATCGGTATTTGATGACCTGGGAGCAGGAACACCACCTGTTGTGTTGTGTGGTTAGCTCTGAGTCACTCTGTTTCCCATTTCCCCAAAACGTCTGTATTTGACGACCTGAGATACATGTATACATGTATTTTGGTTACAAGGTACATTGATTTGACTGTATATAATGCTAACAAACTGTATGCAGGGGATATGACAGTAATAAATAAACCCTTTACCCAAACGTGACAAAAGTATGGTGAAAATTTAATCAGTCTGAACTTTAGGGTGTGATGGATGCCACCCTCTGGCCTATATGATCCATTTTAAGGTACCAAACTAGTAAATCTGTAACTTGTGGATGAGCAGTAGTTAGTTTTATTTCTGTGGGTAATCCACATTTATTAATTTACAATTAATTACCAGTGCACATTTTTGTATCGATTTTTTTTTTCTGGCTCTGTAATTCCCAGGGGAATCATTAAAAATTCACTGTGTAGATAATCTTACCTGGATTCATGTTTGCCAGGGCAAGTGAAAAGCATTAGTAAGAGAAATGCAAAAGAGTAATGTATCTTGTCAGGCGAAGATGTGAAATCCAAGATGGCTGCCCTCTTTCTCCCTCCACTCCACCTCCTATTACAGCCTGAAAGAGAGAAAAGGATCCAGTTACTGTTTGTGGGCGCTGTCTGAGAGAACGTCCTGTAAAATAATGTCCATGTCCATTTAAAAGGCTTAATTTTATTTTAAACAGGAGAAGAGTACCTATTGTGAACTTTGTTTGCAGTTGTACATACATCAGTTTACACAGAACGCTGTATGCAGTGTTTAACCACTTAAGCCTTCTATAAAGGCCATTTGTAAAACATTTGACATTTGAGAATGTGTATATTGGTTGGTCTAATAGGTTGGACTAACGTTGGACTAATAGATTGGATTAACGTTTCATTACAGTTTTTTCTCTGTGCAATGTTTTTCTTCCCTCTCCTGCATGTAGAGAGGCTTACTGTGAAACTGCAGGCATTAGACACTTCAATACCACCATAGATTGTTTTCTAAGCCCCTGACACAACCATGTGCCAAATGTATATAAAAGTATTACAACCACCTAAAAACTGAAGCAAACTCAAGTTTCAGTAAGCAGGTTTATTGAATTATCTGGATATCTTTGACGAGTAAGACCCTGGAAATACCAAAAAACTGCAACACTAATTGATGTAAGTATTTAAAAATTAAAATGAGTGGTTAATGGCTTTGTGTTCCTGAAGCAATATACAAGTGTGGGACACAAATTGTTTTGTTTGTTTTATTTGATTTTATATACATATTGTCATATAATGTCAGCTGTATCACCCAGCCCTAACTGACAGCATGAAGGGTTTGAATGTTTCCCCATAACAATATACAGATGCGCCTCTGTCTTAAGACTGTGTCAAATGTGCTGTTTCACAAGTAGAAGGTAGGTTATAGAGGAAATGTATTTGAAGCGGATGCAGCTCAAGTATTTAGCACAGTTAAATGATAAAAGAACGTTGTTAAGTTTTCATTCATCCCAAAATACATTATTCAATTCTTGTTTAAAAGACAACTTACATTTTACTTAAAATGTATTTGAGGATGATCTCTTCATCCAGGGGATGAGGTCATGCAAAGCAGGGTGGGAGGGTTGCTGTTACAGTTAAAATCCTTTACTGACTGGTGTGGGGCCCCATCTCTGTCTCTGCCCTGACCCCTCCGTCCCTCTACAGGCTGAGGAGGAGGCTGCGCGCCTGGCATCAATGCCAGCCTGGAGGAGAGACATGATGAAGAAGAAATTGGACGAAGATAGGTGAGTAACGAAGCTGTGTTGCCCTGCACGTCTGTTATTAATCTTCTCTTGTCCCATATTTATTATATCCTGGGTAGATTGTGCTCATTGTCTTTGCGTATATGTTTCTTCACCATAAAATCAGGATGTGACGTTCTTGCTAAAACTGACCAAATTTGCACCATCATTTGTTTTTCCAATTTTCTACACCGGGGCAACTTTATTAGATAGACAGAGCTGAGGTATTATCCCAGTTGGGATTCTCTTTTGCTTCCCTAAACTCAACAGGCTGGAAATGATCCAGAGATTTTAGTCTGCGCTGATGGAATAGCATCACACAGTTCCTGCTGAGTTTTTTTGGTGGCAGATTAATGCTGCCTCCTCCACAGGTTCAGATCTGGAAGCTGTACACGATGCTGAAGGGAACATGCCTGGAACAATCTTGAGATGCATACGTTGTAAGATGGCACAGTATCTATCTATCTCTAGAAGAATATACGTTTTTCACTGTTTTGATTAACAAGTGAATCTTTGTGGCCAGTGTTCCATATAAGCTGTGGCATTCGAACAATGCCTGCAACGTTACACCACCACCATGTACGGACACTGTGTTTTTCAACTCTACAAGTATTTAGTTTTTAATAGCAAGTTTGATTGACCAATTCTGTGATTTTGCACACGCAGAGGCTCTTCTCTGAGGCCACTGTCGTACTGATCTATTTTATTATTAGTATTTTTGTGCCTTGCCTGAACAACTGATGCAGTTCTCCTCCTATTTTCACTTAAAGAGATCCTGCAGTGCAAAACCATTTCACTGCAGAGCACTCTTATTTCTGAAACTGGAACGAGCATGTCCGGCACCAGTGCTTGCTGTATAATATGTTAAAAACAGACAGTGTAACACCTCTGCCCACTTGAATGTAAAGTCAAGCAGTAACTCATTCTGTGGGTTACACCGTTTATTGAGGTAAAAACATGTGACTGTAAATAGAAAGTTTTCCCTTTGATATCTGATGTACTTGTACAAGTGCTAAGTGTTGTGCTTTGACTGGCACATGTGGGTTTAGATGGCCTATAACTCAAGATGTAACTCAAGAAGATTAATTATGAGATGCAATGTTGGTTGCTGGACAGAATGTTGGAGATCTTTAACTTTTTGTTTTTAATGTTTATCTTCTAAAAAATTCTGTGCTACAGTCTTCATCTGTCTTTAAGGTGTTGTCTTAAAGGGGAACTTGGCAACTTTTTCAGCTTAATAAACCCGTTTAGAAATCATTTGGTGGTTAAATGGCCTGTTCCGGTGTAATGGTGACCCATCCCCACCCCCTCAGGCGAACCCAGGCGACCCCAGGCGGAAAAACCAACCTTGCACTTTGGGACTACAGTCCCGGTAATTGAAATAGGAAGTAATCGCCGGATGCGAGAACGAGCGAGAACACGACGGCTTAGGCAATTCCCAAAAAAATAACCGCCACGCGCCCTCAATAGGTTATTGTCATATGCTTACCCACTCCGGTAGATATTGCTCACTGAAGAAGTCCGGTGAAAAAGGCCATCGAAAAGTTTTTTTTTTAGAGTGTTGTGAAATACAGCTATTCCAGAGTGGTGGGGAGCTCGTTGAGAAAACATGCGATGACAAAAGTGAAAACCAGCGAAGAAATGGCTAGAGTTGCCAAGTTCCCCTTTAATGTTTCTTAGCTTTTGTATAGCTATATAATTGTTAAACTACAGTATTTTCCATTTAATGTTGGTTATGTGACATTGTCTTTTTATGTTGACATGACCTCATAATAATGTCCTAATTGTTTTTGGAATAATTGTTGTTTCTGTTTAAGATATTTACACTTTTTCTTCTCTTCCTTATGTTCTCCTGATGTGACAGGGAACAAAAACGGTAAGAACAAATTGTTTTCTTCCTTATAGTAATGTTTACTTAATTTAGAGACTATGAGATCAAGGCTCCCATCTAGTGGTCACATCATGTCACATGGATAGAGCCCATGTATCACACAGTATGGTTATAAAGAGGGATACAGGGGGAAACAATGTTTACAAAGTGTTTCCTCAAAACTAACAGCCAAATGGTACACACTAGCGAGGCCTGTGTTAAAACTGAAAGGTAGAAAAGTCAAAGGGCACTGAGGTTACGGCAGTTTTTACGGTGGGTTTGTTGCTGTACCGGCTACCGACACTAGGCGGCGCCCGACTGAGAGTTGAGGTGGACATGTTATCCAAAGTATACATAGAATAATAAATGAAAGAAGTTAAACTGTATTAATCCTCTCACAGCTATACCTCTCAGATATAAGCTAACAGACATTAGCTCTCTCAGGGCTCATGCTAACCAGCAGCTGAAACTACACCTCACACTCACCGGTCATCTTAAAACACTTCCGGTGCACAGGTCTCCTTCTTTACTGAGACAGAGGGAAACGAAATGCTTAGCCAACGTTGTCATGTTTCCATGACATTAGGACATTTAGTAAGTCAAGGCAATCTTTTCCGAAACGTCTTACAGACATTGTGGATTCACGTGGAGCAGGTAGACTGCAAACCGGATGTCAAATTATTATCACGTGGGCTGAGCAGCCAATCCCATGACGTCAATAATGTCACATAGTTCTAGTTTGTTTCTTCACCCTGTTGCCCTCAGTGCTTAAATACACACAGATATAACTGATTACATTAAAATAAACATACATGCATTACATTTAGGTGAGCTAGTTCCAGGGTCCTGGTATTGTGCATGCTGGTTTGTTTGTTTGTTTGCATTTGTGTTTGTTGATATGTATTTCAAGCATGTAAGGAAAAGAGAAAACAAAAAACATGACAAAATAACAATAAAATTAAATGGACAATAACCGTATACATAAACTGAGGGAGTAAGTCCTCATAACAACACAAGATTACATTTTACATGTATCTGTGCTTTCCTGCTGGGATAATGAAACATTTCTGCTAGCTATGAACAGGGTTCATTAAGGAAGATGGCCACTATATGGCCAAAAGTATGTGGACACCCCAGTCCACTACACCAAATACCTCAAACATTGTGTTCTTTTTCATTGCTATGTCCTGTTGTTCCAGTGAAGAGAAATCTTAATGCTACAGCATACAGTGATATTTTAGACAAATGTGTGCTTCCAACTTTGTGCCAGAAATGACTGCCCCCCACACACAATGCCAGGGCCATAAAGAAATGACTATGAGGCAGGCTTTATCACTCAACATCAGAGCCCCTGTGGCTGAATGGGAGAAAATCCCTGCAGCCAGGTTCCAAGGTTTTGTAGAAAACTTTCCCAGAGGGAGTTGAGTTGAGGCTTGCAGCACATTAATGCCCAAGGTTTTTGAATGAGATGTTGGTGTCCACACACTTTTGGTATGTAGTGTAATAATAGAGAAAAAGCATTAGATTGTATTGTATAATGTATTGGTTGAGTGTAAGATTTCCTTTGAATTAAACCATGTGAAAGCTTCCTGTATCCAATTCTAACTTCAATCTTGTTTCTCGTCCTTTGTCCACCTTCCCTCGTGGATCTAGAAAAGCGGAACAGCAGGCCAAACAGGCCAAGGAGAAAGAGGAGAAGACGGAGCAGGAGCGACTACGGATCCTCGGCTATGACGAGTCCAAGCTGGCCCCCTGGCAGCGACAGATCATTCTGAAGAAAGGGGATATAGCCAAACAGTGAACTGGGCCATCTCCCCTTCCTATGCCCCGCATCACTCCCCACCCTTACACACCCACCCCAAGGCCTTCACTGAACACCTCTCCCCTCCCTGATCCTCCACCTTGCACTGTGCACTGGACAGGGGGAAAGAGCTTGTCTCCTCTAAACCCTGTTTCACTCTTGGGCCTCCAGACACACAGGACCATGCTGTGGTTGCCGCTGTCCTGCTTTGAGGCTCAGCTTGGGTGAAACGCAGTGGCAGGACCCACCACCTCCAATTAAACACAAACTTTTGGTCTTTTAGTGCTAAGAATAGCTGTGACTGCACTGATTCCCTTCACTTAAGACATTTGCTATAAAGGCATCTGTCCCTAACTGAATTAAGATTATCTGTAGTATCTTTCACTTTGCTTTCCTGAAAATCAATAGAAGCTATTTCACATAGAAGATTTACTCAAACAGAGGAGTTTCTGATAGTTGGGAAGGGGCTATTTGTGAGCATTTTTTCCACAGGGCCTGTCATCACATGTTTATTTTCCCTTTTACTAGAATCACTCACCATTATGTAACGAATGGAAAAGTAGCTCCATAACAGTTGTATCATCTAAAGATGGCATTGACATACTCAGCAAAGGCTTATTAACCCCTAAAGCAGCTAATGCATTCTGTATGTAGACAATATCCCATCTTTATCATGGTATATACTTTTGATTTTTGTATCAAGTTTATAGAAGCACTTTCTACTGCCAGAGTTGTAATCTTAGCACGGCTCAAACTAATCTGTTTCTTTAGATAAGCTTGTTATCATTTCTCTGTGGATTTGGAATATTAATATATATCCTATTTTAAAAGATGTAAAGATTATATGTAGCTGTGCAAATTGAATTTTATTAATTATCACTGGACGAAAGCTGCAATGTTCCAATGTCATTTTTCTATATGTTCTAAATGTTAAGCTGTTGTGATCATGAATGTGAAATGTTGTGTGCATGTGTAATGTGTATCAAGCATGTTGTGATGTATTATTAAGCACATTTGACCCCAGGGCCCTGGATTTTCAGTGAAAAACAAAGACACACAATGGGAGCACAATCCTGCTAGATTTCTATTTAAACATGGCCTTTTTTTTTAAACAAACAAAAAAAAACATGCACATGTGAAGAGCAGCATCTTACACCAAACGTGTCATCTGCACACTGAATATTGCAAAAGTACTGAAAAGTCATCAGTTTGTCCTGTGTCCTGTTCCGGCCTTTGTCCCACTAACCTGGAAGATAAATCTTTGATGAGCCGATCTGCTTACAGAATGCAGAGTGCTCTCTGTCAGCCAGAAACAGCCATAACATCTAAAATTTACTGTCCCTTAGATAATACCAGCTGTGTTTTAGTAATCTGCAGCTGTTAGTGAGAACAGTCTAGTTTCAATTCTCAACCTGATGGCTTTAGAGTAGAACTGACACGAATGGACTTATCATTATACAGCTCATGTTAGTCATCATTTCTTTGGTCTAAACAGTTTTTTTTACAGTTCCAGGTTTTACAGCAGACCTTGGATTCACACATTTAAATATGGGAAATGTGCGTTAAATGTTTTCTGGCAGAACTGAGAAGACACATTTTAAATGTTAGCAGAGCATAAGTCTGTGCACTGACATTTAAGAGCAACTGAACCTCACAATCAAGCCGGATGTCTCTTGCTGAGTGAGACACATACATTTTCCCACATGATGGAAAATATTCTCTATGTTTACTACAGTTATGTCTGATGTACATTTTTACAAATGTAGGTACACATCATGTCGTCATGAAAGACATGGTCCTGGTTGGGGAATCATTTGGAAATATTCTAATTCACTGTCATCGGATGCCATATGATGTTGAAATTAAAAAAATGATGTAAACGTCATTGCCATTTGATTTTCTATATATATTTCAACTCTGTATATAGCCACCCTCTCAGAATGTTGTCGTTTCATTGTTTCCATATTGAATTATATTACATGTTTCAGCCTTGCTTGAATAGACTGTTGGCTAATTCATGTATAATTATATTTTCAGACTGTTAAAAATGAAGATAATAAATCTTTTATCACCAAATAATGTCCAGAGTGTGCTTGTGTTGCCTCCAACGTAAACACATGTACAACAAAATCCACTAGACTAGTACAACAATAAAAAATAGCCCTAAAATAAACTCTTCCTCAAGCCTTTAATGCTCAGTTTCTGTTGAGGCTGATTCACCTGTGGTAGTTTATGAATCCACTGTTTGTGCTGTTGTATATAGAGAGATTTTTAAGGTTTTAGGAAAGTGACAACTGTGCAAACCAGGTTTTACTATCATCTCTAATAATATCAGCTACATACAATGTAAAACAATGTACAATCACACATCATAGCTTAAACAAAATAGGGGAATGAGACATCAGAATGAGATTTAAAATGCAATAAATACAAATAAAACAAAATAATGCAATGACAAAAACATAATAATAATAATAATAATAATAATTATTATTATTATTAAAAATAACGAAGAAAATACAAATAAAAAAGTGCTACAGACACTTTAAATATGTATCTACTGGATGCTGCTCCAGAATCATTTTAATTACACAACTCAAAGCAAAAATCTCTCAAATGTGGGGAAGATTTTGAAAGTTCAGATTTGTGTATGTGAACTTTTTTTCTGTTGTAGCGTCTCGGCTCCTATTGGTCACCAGAGGGAGCCAAAGAGCTACGTGTACCTACCAGGTAGTTGTGATGACAACAAACACCAGAAAGAAAGAAACAGAAAATTGTCGGAAACTCAAACTAATGATTTTATTGTATGTATTTGCAAAATGATTATAACAACGTGGATTCTAGTCAGACTCTACCTGCATGTTTTAAATGCATTTGTTCAAAAACAACAAGTGTCATGTTGCAAAGCCGGACTGGAAAGTCCCAGAAACAGCATTTAAATCCAAATGTTACAACAAAAAAAAAGTTATTTCTGTAGCTGCTTTCCCTGCGTTAACCAACACTGCCTCTTTTTCACACGACTGATAGATACTCACCTGTTGTGACGTAGGCAGCCGGGCCTAATGGGTGAGCAGAGGAGGAAGTGAGTGAGAGAGAGGGTGAGAGAAGAGAAAACAGTGACCGAGTGCTGCGGAGGACTACAGCTGCTGCTTAAACCGCACTTCTCAGCGCACCGGACGGACAGCGGCTCTCCGGAGGACCGGCGGGAGGACTGACCACTGATAGCACTGATAGCACTGAATAAGAAGGCTGCTGTTAGTAAGGTCACCTCGCACAGGTAAGACAGCTGTTGAACCGCTCACTGTCTCAAGTGTTTGCTGAACTGCGTGTCACCCCGCTGTTAAGAACCATGGGAATGTGAGGCAGACATTTTTGCTCCCACCCTAATCCGTCTTTCAGGCAGCGACTGAGGAGACAAAAAAAAACAACACAATTGTTTATTTTACTGTTATAACAATAGGCTACATGTTTTAAAACTTCTGGTAAAGATCATTTTTATTGTCTGTTATGAATGTCATGTTGAGCCTGCCACTACAATAACACGTTTATAGGAGTAAGGCCTGCATTATAACTTGCTTGGTCTGCACTTGACTCTCTGCACAGGTTAATTATCGAAAACAAAGAAAACAAAGTGTGAATTCGTTTTCTTGTAGGTTTTGTGGCGCACAGATTTGCTGGAGCAGGTCTGTGTGTGTGTGTGTGTGTGTGTGTTTTCTCGTGTGGGCAAGTGCAGTGTAGGAGTGAGCGTTGAGTCACGGGTTGAGTCCCTGTATATGAGTTTGAGGACACAACTGGCTGAGTGTGTGAGTGGTGAATTGGATCATGAGTGAGGATCAGTTCTCTGATGGGAAGAGATCTGGGAGCCCCCCTGTAGGTCACTGGAGGGTCATCCAGACAAGAGAAACTCGTGTTACTCCTGCTGTTTTTTCCCCATGTCTCCTTTTAAGGTGCTGGGCATGTTTCCTGCATGTTGTTTGAACTTGTCATCCTCCCCTCCCCTGCAGACTTGTCCAATGTTGTAGGTGCTGAAGAGCTCCTCAGGCCAAGGACACCATGTCCCACAGCCAGTCAGACAGTTGCGTGGGCGACCAGGTCCCCCTAATCCTGGAGAGCCACTTCTCCACAGAACTTCATATATCTGAGCCGGGCGATGATGATTGCCAGTCACAAAGCTACCCTACACCCCAATGTGAAACCTCCACGCCCCAGGAAGATGTAGTAGACAGGAAGGTGGTCCCTCAGCAGGTGGTTCTGAGCACCCAGAGTCCTGCAGCGCTGAAGGCTGGCACCCGTCAGGTCATCCCCAAGAATTTAGCTGTGGCCAGCCGGCCCAAGCACCGCCACCACACCACTGTGGTGACATTCCCATTGGGACTGGAGAAGTCCATCAGTGGGGGCCGGACCCGACACTCAACCCAGGGGCCAGATGTGTCCTGGGAGGATTATGACAGTGATGGAGACGGCTTTGCTTTGAGAAGGAACCGCAGGAACAAGTCATACAGAGAGGCTGTGACCAGCCTTGACATTGAAGCCATGGTGACGGGACAGGTGCCTGTAGCCACGCTTACACCTGTCAGAGAAAATATGACGCCCAGTCCTGGTCCAGCTCGCAGCCCTGCACGTAAGGTACGTAGGCTAAGGGGTTGGTGGTCAAAGGGCAGTATTCTACTATGTTTTACCCTCGTAGTTAATCTAATGGAATTTGTAGTTGCAGTTGGATAAGGATACAGTTTTGTTTCTGTAAAAGCCTCGTGGGTCACAGGCAGCATGGCCAATAGCACTGGCTGTGATTCTCCTTTAGTCATAGGGATGATGGCGTGTTTCCACATGTTTCCTATCTTCCAGACCAGTATCAGTGTTGAGGAAGTTCTCATAGGGGTTTTACCACACTATATTTAACATTTGTGGATTGAAAGAAAGCGGCAGTGCTGAAGAGAGAATGTCAAAAGATACTGTTAGTTTTATTGATGCCCATGCAATCCACAGTGTTTAACTCAGGCTGCACTGCTGTCTCCCCTCTAGCGAACCCTGGGGAGAAAGAGGAACCAGAACAAACGTGGGTCCTTCAAAGATGGTATGTTAACTAATGTGTCACTCTGTCCACTTCTCTTAATGTGACTATAGGACTACAAATAGATGGGAAATAACAATGATGATTGATGTTTCTGCGTTGGATTGCAAAGGAATTATGCATCATAGAATCTAAAATGTAAACTTGACTTGTTGATGCAACACGATGTCTCCACGTAATGGCTTAGAAAAGATCCTTGAGGCAACAAGATAGGACAGGACAGGAAATCATTCACTCTGAACGTTCCCAGCATGCTGAATATCACATTGTTGAGTCCTGAATGTGTAACTTGTCCTGTACCTTCAGAGTTTTTAAAAGTAAGTCTCCAGTTATGATTATGTGGACTTGAGAAGGTCCAGGTGAAGAGTTGTTTGTCCACTTGTGAATTGGAATTAAAACTGACATTTTAGTGCTTTTTCAGGGGTTTTGGTACATTCTCAAAGATGCCATTCAATTTCTTTCTCAGTATCATAATTAGATTTCACATTCACATTTAATGCTATGAGAATCAAACCTGTGATCTTTGAACTAACTTAATGGTCTCTGTATTATTCAGTAATGAAACAAAAGAAACCTGCATTTAAATCCAACTCACTGTCAGCTTTTTTATAAGAGTTGTATTCTCACCTCCCACACTTTCATTTTTCATTTCAGTTGCCCATGTCATTATGTTGATAGATACTGACCATGTTTCAGCCTTTCCTTTGTTTCACTTCAACATAGAATACCTACAATTACCTTCTTTCAGTACAGCTGACAGATTTGTGGGTGAATAAGAACAGAATCCTTAATGCATAAGAAATATATCAGTTAGAAACCAGGTACTTTAACCCTTAACACTGCATTTTAATAATAAATTTTTAAAAAAATTTCTGCTTCTGTTGTCATGAAAAATGTTCCACATTGCAAAACCACCACACAGAGAAACAACTGTTTGTTGATGCTATCCTCAGCTACACCGCAGCTCTACCAGGAGATACGTGAGCGAGGGCTGCACTCCACCAACCAGGATGAGCTGCTGGATGACTTTGTGGTGGTGGAGCCTCCTGTGGAGGACCAGGGCATCGTGGTGAAGAGCTACCGGCCTGCACAGATGACCTGGAGCCAGCTGCCACAGGTACACCTCAATCTGTCCTGGCATACAAACTGTGAGCATTGGGGGGGGGGTTTCTTAACTTCAGCTGAATTTTGTTTGTTTGTTTGTTCTTTAAAAGGTTGCAGTGTAAAGTCTTGTTTTCCTTGCTGCACTCAATGACCCCTTGTGGAAATTCTAGCTAAGTTTGCTCGATGTCACAACCACTGTGCTCGTCAGACAGGCTGGTGATGTTGAAATTTTCATTTGAATCCTGTACCAGAATGCAGAGCATAACTTAAATGTGTCTGTGTGTCTCTTACAAAGGTGAGGGACACAGATATCCTGACAATAATCTCACCTCAGGAGAGAAAGAGACAAGAGGTAAGAATGTGTGTCAGCTGGTGT